TAAATAAAAACTTGTTTTTAAAAAAGTTTTTTTATAAAATTTTTCAGAACAATTTTGAAGAACTTTTCTTAAATGAAAATATATTATGTAAATTCGTTAAATTATTTCAGACAATTAAATTCAACCATCAATCAAAATTTTCCTATAATGTATTTTTTGTTAAATTTATACGCAAAAGTTAGAAATTATTATACCTTAAAGAATATTACTAAGAACTTAAATGTAGCAAACAAAAACCGAAAGCTCCTAATTTAGAAACATTCGTAAATAACTATAAGTAATCAATGTACTTATTTCATTTTGCTGTTATTTCTAGAAATAAATTAATTAATTTGTTTTTTAAATGTTTTTCTTTGAGAATGCATATTTATTTAAAGTCAACAATTTAAAAAACGTGTATCTAAATTATGTTCTAGCACCAGTCGAATAATTTTTACGTCACGTGTAAATTTTTTTTGAATACATCTCTGGGCTGACTGGCGCTTAGGCGGCTATTGGTTTTGGCGAGAGCTCGCCGCTCTAGTGTTCCCCTCTTTCCATACCTCCAAACAGTGCCGTGCGATATATTTTTCTTAGGAGATATTTTGTATTTTTGATAAATGTTTTGACTACGCCTATGGTGCATGCTGCTTATTTAGATGGTATCATCCTAGTTAATTAAAAAAAACGTATTAAAATGTTAACAAAAGGTACAAAACTAGTATCGACGTATATATAATTATAATAATATATATATAATTATAAAATTAAATAAGAAAACGCTAAAAAGGTGGAATGGACTGTTTATTTACATATATGAAACGTAACTCCTGGCTTTTTCTTGTGGCCTTTACACTTGAAAGCTGAACAAATCACCATTGTAATAAAGTTTATACAAGGTTCACTATACACAACAAACTATTAAAAATCGCTAAAATTGTCGCTGGTGACACATCCATTCCTCCAAAAAAATGGCGGTTAACGACACAAATTCTGGTTCAGATCGTATATGGGCGTTACTTGTTCTTGTATTCTTTAGTCACTGGTTACATCCATAGATAAAGAGTATTTTATATATTTTTTTAATTTATAAGTTGATCGATGTCGTCTAAGTTTATATTATTTTCTAAAAAAATATGTTTTTAATTTTCTTCGTAATGGTTTCATACTTTAATTATAATAAGTATTATTTTTTTGGTATTATATTTTTACTTCTTCTTGTTAAGTGTCTTCTATTATTTATGCAAATTTTTAAATAATTGTTTTTACCGAAATATATATTTTTAAAGTTTAAAAACAATTTCATGTCTTGATCTTTATAAGCACCATAATATAACTAAAAATAAACTTTGAGAGATGCGATTGCGATTACTAATGCCAGTTTTATATTCATTGTTATAATAAAGTAACAAATTAATAAAATAATTTCATAACTTTCATATATCTGTTTGCTTTCCTAATAAACTATATTATTCTCTTTGACAAATAAAGTATAATATTGTGGTGTTATGCATTATCTGTTAATCACAGTTATTTCATTTTGGATGTGGGGCATCACGCACAGAGTTTGCCAAATATAATCTACGTAATTTTTGTATAAACAAAAAGGAAAAATAATTAAAAAGTATATTTTTGGATACTGGTTTTAGTAGGATATTGAAATCGACAAATATCAAAATACAACTTTTAATCGGAATTAAACGGCCTATACAATTTTGATAACAAGAGAAAAGAGTAACTTTTACCGTCAAAAATTTCAATCAAAACATTAAAAGGAGTTGAAAGATAACACAAGTTTACAAATTCGGGTCAATTTTTGGACCCGAGCAGATGAGAACGATTCTTAACGTTGTTTGATGCCCTGAACTCAGATCTTCAATCCGTTCGTCAAGATTGGCTCTAGTTTTCATGTTCGCGCATGACATTAGCACTGACAACAAAATGTGTCCTCTGTACCACTTGTAAACCCACAGGATGTTTTACTGCCACCCCTTCACATTAAACTTGGCCTTAATAAGAATTTTGTCAAAGCGCTCAATCGCGAAGGACCGGCTTTCCAGTACTTAACCAAGTTGTTTCCAAAACTGTTATACGCAAAAATCAAAGAAGGAATATTTGTCGGACCTGATATTCGAAAACTAATGGCTGACACAACGTTTACAAAATGTTTAACGCTCGATGAAGTAGCAGCATGAGCATCGTTTCAAAGTGTTGGTTAGGTCAACTTTCTCGGTAATCATAGATCACCGGATTAGAGAAGCAAGTAATCGACAATTTGTTGCAAAATTACCACAAACCGAACCAGAATTGGAGCTTGAATGTCTCTCAAGATACATTTTCTGCATTCACATCTTGATTTCAACCAGCTGCTTGATCTGGTTTCAAATAGTCCCAGTACTCCCTCCATTTATCATTTATACTGAAGTTTTCTCCTAAAAGTTGTTCTGCTAATAGTAGTGCAGATCCCCCGCACTACTATTCGACTTCAGTCTTCGCAGACGGGCATCTGGCAAGTCGTTGTGGACTGGAAGATGAGAATTTGATAATATGTTCTGATATTCCTTAACGAGTCTTTCCTGTCTTCGAATACTGGGAGGTGCAATATGACTCAGAGTGGGCAGCCAAGGTAGAGGTGTGCTTTTTAAACAGCCGCTGACTATTCTCATAGTCTCATTAAGTTTGGTGTCAATTATCTTTACGTGGCAGCTGTTTAGCCAAACTGGAGCGCAATATTCAGCAACTGAGTAAACTAGGCTGAGAGCTGATGTTTTAAGAGTGGATGCGTTTGCGCCCCAAGTAGTACCGCAAAGTTTTGTGTATTATATTATTTCTAGTAGTTATTTTAGCTGCGGTATTCTCTAGATGCCTTTTATACGAGAGTGTTCGGTCCATTGATACTCCTAGATATTTTGGATAAGGGTTATAACGTAGCAAGTTGTTATTGAAGTATACTTGGGGCTCCAGGCGTGCTTGTTTATTATTGAGATGAAAGCACGACACTTCAGTTTTATTCATATTTGGGATTAGTCTCCAGTTTGCGAAATATTATCCCAGTACAGACAGGTCTTCTGACAGTAGGCCATTAGCTTCCTCTATAGTTTTACTGCGGATGGCAAGAGCTAAATCGTCGGCATACCCAAATTTTGTTGACGTTGTATGTGGAATGTCGGAGATATATAGATTAAACAGTACCGGTGCGAGTACCGAGCCCTGAGGGAGCCCATTATTAAGGTGTCTTATTTTACTCCTGTTTTTTCCTGTTATTATTTGGAAGGGCCTGGCGCACAGCATGTTGTTTAATAGAGATGCTATTCTACTGCATGGTACTGCGTTGAGGAATTTGTATAGAAGACCTTCTCTCCAGACCGTGTCATACGCCGCAGTCAAGTCAACATACACCACAGTGGTCTTCAGCTGTTTTTGGAATCCTGCTTCAATGTGTGTTGTTAGGCTGAGTACCTGGTCCACACAGCTACGATGCGGTCTGAATCCAGCCTGTTCAACAGGAGTATGTTCCAATATCAATGGGCCTATTCGGTTTAATAGCATACGTTCTAGAAGTTTGTAGCATGAACTTAATAAGGCTATTCAGGCAAGCTTTCAGGTAGCTTTCAGGCAAGTTCTTAGGTTTGTTTGGCTTTAGAACTGCAACTATTTTGGATTTCTTGAGTTCTATTGGAATATGCCCTGTTAGTAGGATATCGGAATAAAATTTACTCAGCCACATTCTTGTATGTTTCCCGCAGTTTTTGAGGAATTCGGGGTGAATTCCATCGAATCCAGGAGCTTTACCAGATTTGGTGTCTTCCGGTGCTTTATCCACTTCTTCCACAGAGAATGGCTTGGCGTATTCAGAGTGGGCACTTGCTTTTTGGCGGCAGATTGTCAGTTGTTTTTTAATATTTGCGTTTTGTTGTTGTTTTTTTTAATTCAATAAATGACCGTTAACTGTCAAAAATAGTAAAATAATGAATTTATTGAATATTTCAAAAACTAGAACCAATCTTAAAAAATGGACTACTGATTTGGATTCAGCTCCAAAAATTATCTTAGAAATTGCTTTTAGCTGCTCAGGTCCAAAACCGTGTATACTTGTGTAATTATAATAAATCGAAAAAAAAATTAACCCCTTGTAGCTACGAAACGAAGCAGAATCGGATCTATGTTGCTATGAAAAATAAATTTTAATTTTACATGGAGAATCTCTTCCCGTGAGATGACACATGTTTTTTAGGGTTCCGTACCCAAACGAAAACACCTTAACCCATTCGAACACCTTTGATGTACCGACTCGAAACGGATGGCCGAGCGAACGAACAAACGAACGACCGCATGCGTTCGGTCCACCGTCCAAATATACCGAATTCCATTCGTTCGCTCGTTCGTTCGGATAATGAATACGCACCTTTACTAAGACTTCGCGTCCGTCCGTCCGTCTGTCACAAAGGTCTATCTTTTGAACCGTTATAGCTAGACAGTTGAAATTTTCACAGATAATGTATCTATGTTGCCGCTATAAGAACAAATACTAAAAACAGAATTAAATAAATGTTTATAAATAAAAAAGCCCTTTCACTAAACATTATCTTTTAAGTAAGAATTTTACATAGAATCTGTCAAGTCCTCGGTGGCCGCGTGGTTAAAGCGTTAGGACTTGACGCTGCTATGACGTTGGAGCCGTAGTAAGGCAGGTTCGAATCCTAGCCAGGCCGGCTTTTTTTAATCGCCTTTTTTTACATATTTTTACATATTTATTTTTACTTTTTACATATTTATTATTGATTAATACAATTTTTAGTAATGTGTTTCTTAATTTTTTTAAATTACTTATACGCGCATTGAAAATTTCAGCTAAATCGGAAAAAAAAGTTTATAATAATATAGTTTCTAATGTTGTATAGATAATGAATGGTGCGGAACCCTTCGTGCGCGAGTCCGACTCGCACTTGACCACCTTGTATAATACGAAACTTTTTCTCCGAAAAAAATATATTTACAAAGCAATTCCTGCCTTATTTCAGATCTTTTTTCAACATGTTCCTATTTCTTGGGATCTTGCTGAGTCTGGGCTGCTTAACGATCGCCGACGACTACAGATTGCCCACCAACCTGAACACCACAAGCTACCATGTCAGTTTGTCCTTTTCTTCTGAGATTTTTACCACCGTAAATGGTAGCGCATATACAGGTGTTTCTAATATAACTTTTACCGCTCTCGAAAATACAACCACAGTAGTGTTGCACGCCAGTGCTACGTACATAAATGTCACTGGAATTGTTTTTGCTGAAGAAGGAGTAGCTGTTAGTAATTATTCAGTTAATGCAACAACTGATATACTCACGGTATATCTAAACGAAAGTTTGGTTAAAGATCAATCATACACCATTTCATTAAGTTTTGGTAAGTATTAGAATTTGTAAATAATGGTTTATAGGCTTGGTGCGTTTCAGTGCCGGGTATAAAGTTTTTCACGAAGTTAATATTAAAATCGTGGCTTTATCATAACATTTAAGTATTTGATTTTTTAGTAGTGCAGTTATTGAAACTACAAAACATTCAGGTACGAGGTTTGTGTGATGTAACGTTGTTTCGGGTAGTAAAAAATAAGTGAAAAAGAACCCGAACTAGGCGTGGTGTTGTGTTGTGACAATTTCAAATGTTAATAAAATTGCCGAAAAAATGTTAACACGTAGGGCGTTGTTGGGTGCAATAACATTCACTAACTCAACTTTCCCGAATACTCAACTCTCCCGAAACAACTTTTTATAGCTTCACAGCTTCTCACACCGATTTGATCAAAATCAAAAATGGATTTAAGCAGTTCGACGAACTGCTTAAATCCATTTGGTTGGCGCCAGAACTTTAACTGGCTCAGTCGGTAGGATTTTTAGTTAAAGTCATTTTTTTGGTGCTTCTGATTTAAAAAAACTCAGTTTTACGACGGTGAAGCTTTATTGACACATTAAGAATATACTCTTAAAACGTACCAACAAAGACTTAAAGCACAGAATATCTAGCTACGCAAGCTAGATATTCTGTGCTTAAAGGTACGCCCAAGCAATGGAGAATTTATAAGCTTTAACTGCTGACACTTCACAGTACATACATTCTGGAAATGTCGAGATTAAGAGTATACACTATTAAGAGGGCATAACCATACTAATAGGGTAGATATAACAAGTGAGTAAAGAAAGTGCTCGTTACATAACCAAATTAAATAAGCATATACTATGTGAGGGTAAAACATAATTTGGAATATTAATGGTATAGTTTTTTTAATAAGCTAGTGATTAAATGTTTTATGAACATCTTCTAAAATTATAATTATGTACCTTTAAAAAAACCCGTTATAGCCGAAATAGGCCCAATTATGACCCAACTAGCAAAAATATGTTCGCTACCGTAGTTGAACTCATCTAAAAAGTTTTTTTAGTTGGAATAATAAATTATAATACAAGTTAGACCTTCTGAAGATATCAAAATATTTACTTTTTTATTTTCATTTTTAGAATTTTCACGAATTATACTTTCTAATCCTTTTAGAAAAATTATATAATAACTTTTTCGTATACTCGCTATTTAAACCCGTGTATTTGTATACCGTGCTGGCAACTGTTACTTTTGGGTCGGCATTTACATGTGTGGAAGTAAATCGCATAGGGATCTTGTTAAGTCGGAGTGAGAGAAATGCGACCGACGCGACGCGCGACCGTGTGCTGTTGCGGCGTTGCCGATACGCCTTTCTCTATCAAGTTAAGTGAAATCACGATCGGAAACCGCTCATTTTTAAAAGACTTTTTTTTCAAGAGATAACTAGATAAAATCATTAGACATGTTTCTGAGCATCTGAAGTGGAATTATAAGGATATTGTTAGGGTGTCATTTTTTTTATAACGAGAAAACGTCAGTAATCGCGATAATTTAAAAACTCAACTTTTTAACACATAACAGGCCTTAACTCAAGAACCACTTTAGATGTTGAAACTTTTTTTTATTTTCAAGATCGGATATTTGACAATATGTTTACATAAGAAAAATTCGATAAAGTTGTTTTTTCCATTCAAAAATTGTAAACAATCCATCCATTTACTTTTAGAGCATAGCAATTTTCCGCAATCGTGTAATTTTTTTATTGATAAAGATTTTCACATACTGTCTACAAAGAAAATAGAGCAGAAATATTAACAAAGTTCTTGAAAAAACTACTATCTATTATTTCTAATAGATTTTGAGATATCGATTTTTGAATTCAGAGTTCTAATAGCGCGACCACTATCCAACACCCAAATCGATACAACGATTCGTTTATTTTAATGACTAAACAATTTAAAATGAGATGATATTATGTATAAATTTATGATCTATGAAGAAAAAGGAATTATTATAATAATATTATTATTTGCAAAGAGCGGAAAGAGCCACATTTTGCAACGAGGAGCCACCGAGTATTTTTATGCCGAAAAGAGTCACATGTGACCCAATTGGGCCACTTCGGCAACACTGGACAGAGGTATTGATTGGGTCGACCGGTCAACTGCGACAAATCTGCTATATCCCCTTCCACGTCTCTTGGCGATATGCACAGTTTCTCGGTTTATTTCATACGTTTGGCAACGTGTTTACTGTCCTCTCTTTGTTCAGTACATTATAAACGCATTGTACTCTTCTTACATACGGAAATCTCGACCCAAGACTAACCTTTGCCAGCCCTTAGTATACCAGTTATTTACGATATTCTTCGATGGTGGAGAATGCACCAGGCTTATAACTTTGTGACGGTTTCATTTCTTGAAAATAATTTTGAGATTTTTTTTGCCTCTAAAAGAAAATCTACAAAATAAAAATGTTATTTTTGTAGACAACACACAATGTGTTGATCCAACGGAAACCAATTTGTAAAAAAGTATTTAAGTTCCTTTCTTTTTGTTAGATGCCAATGTCAGTACTAGTGATATGTACGGTATATACAAAAGCAGCTACACTGAATCATCAGGTACAACTTACTACCTCGTTTCAACTCAATTTGAATCTACCAGTGCCAGGAGAGCATTCCCGTGCTTAGATGAGCCCAGATATAAGGCTACGTTCACACTCGAACTCACTTATCCCAACGGATTGACGTCTCTTTTTAACGAAAAAATCAATACTACGTAAGTCAATGTTTATTAGAATACAACTCGTCAAATATACAGTTCATACCATAGACTTAAAATAAAATATAGACTACACTATTTACAACTCAACGCGGTCAAAGAAGCTTTATTGTACATTGTACACATGTTTACTTCTGGGTACAGTCGACCGAGCCTTCCTCATCCAGCCTATGTTGTCACGTCTTTAATATTATCAATATTTTTTTCTTATTATACACATATATTGAGATATTAATACTACATTTTAATAAAGTAGGTTTTAATATTCCATAGATGTATTAAATAGTCCTTATACTACTAAATTATAAGTCGGATACTGTTTAAAAAGGATAAGTTCTTTACAATATGACAACACCGATTAGAGGCGAGGGAGCCTATTCATTCATTTATTACCTTGTAGTACGTGTCGCACGCGTGCGGCAAAGCTTTGTTGCCGCTATCTCCCCGGCTGTATTACGCATTTTCTTAGCTTGTGGTCCTTAAGGGTTTATTTTATTGACTTTTTCTGTTCAAGAACTATAAAATATGGTTCGCCAGTGCCAAATTTGCAAGAAATTTGACATAAATAATCCATTTATGTCCTGAAACGACTTTTGACCGGTAGGCAACTCTCAATTTACCCATTAGGAGTCAGTGGCGTTGTTGTAGAAAGGCGCTTATTTAGATAATATTTTAGTAAAATGTAAAATCTGAATTTTTTCTCTCTTACATTACATTATTTACTTACTTACACTGTAACAAAATCATAATTATAACCCTGTTAATAATTAATAATGTTTTTATTAAAAATATATTCCGGTTTATTCTAAAATTATCTTCAGAATCTTAAATAACATACAAGAATTTTAAAATTATATTACATTGTGAAACAATATTTTTTAATATACCGGGTCGTCTCAAAAGTGGCTCACCCCTATAACTCTTTTATTTTTTCAGATAAAAAAAAAACAGATTTGTATGTTAGTAGGTATATATGACATAAATTAGAATTTATTGACGTATTCAATTGTTTTTAGTCTCTTCCTGTTTCACGGAAATGATTACATCTTTTGATTTTTAAAGGCACTATCGGTATATTGCTACTTTATTCGATAAAAAATGACACTCTCAATAGAATGACATATCATATGTTAACTTTTAAATTTCAATCCAGGGTACCATGGTGTTGTTAAAAACACTAAGTTTTAATCAAGGAGCCTTGGAAAAATAGTTTTGATCGTCTAATGGGTTTCGTGTCTTGTCTAGGCCAGTTAAAAGATGTACAAATCGTATTTTTAATCATACATACGTCAATTTTTTCAAATGGAACAAGGGTGACTCATTAGCATATTTGGAAAAAGCATTTTTTTATGAACATATTGATACCACATACTTGGTATTTTGAGTCAAATTATCGTTATGAACCGCGTGTTACAATTACAATTAAACCATATGCGAAAATGTCAAAAGTTGACATATGATATGTCATTCTATTCATAGTGTCATTTTCTATCGAATAAAGTAGAAATATACCGAGGGTGCCGTTTAAAAATTAAACGTTAGAGTACATTTCCGGTAAAACAGGAAGTGACCAAAAACAATTGAATGCGTCAATCAATCCTAATTTATGTCATATACTAACATACTAAATCTTGTTTTTTTATTTGAAAATATAAAAAAGTTATGGGGGATGAGCCACTTTTGGGACACACCCGGTATAATAAAGACAGTACCGAGTTAAATAAATGTAGTTTTCATTTTATCCACTTTCTATCACCTTCCTTGCTTTAATGGAACAAATTTATGTTATCTCTAATTTACATAATAAGACATCACTTAACCAGATAAAAAACTACAACAATCATATTTTTTTTCTCTCGCTGTCGCCGATTCTATTATATCTGTGGAATAGATCCCGTTTTGATTAATATTAGGGGTTGTAAATGTTTGACTAAAATTAATAATTTATTATTAATTTCAAAAATTACCTAATTTCGATTATAAAATTTCTTCTATAACGTGTATTTTATTTACGTTTTTTTCTAAACTTTTATTTAAAAAACCTGTCATAAATCTTAATAAAATATAAAAAAGTTTAAATACGATATATTTTTAATTTAATTATAGCTTCATTAAAATAAAAAATTTACCCGGCTATGATACGGAGAGTTCAGGAGGGCAATTTTTGGAATTGATCGTTTACATGCGAACGCGCAACTTTGCGAGTGTTAGAAAACGAATGCGTTTTAAAAATTCAATTTTTCAGCCATTTTCGCATCTTAATTTGCGATTGTCGTGAGCGTACGCAAAATTACGAGCCGGAACTGTGGCAACGTCGCAAATCACAGTGAAAAACTAAATTCTCTCCAGTTTAACCGTATTTTTTACTGTTTATTTACTTTTCATTACTTGGTATCGATAATCGAGGTTTGTTGTGTTGTTGGTCAAGTGGGTTAATAATGGAAAAAAAACGTGGAACTAATGTTAGAGAAAAGCAAAAAGTAACGTTAATATTTGTAAAGAAATTGCAATTGCAATAGGCAATGCAATAAATACCCGTATTGCAAAACCATACTGTTCTCTATTCTGTTGAGTTTTTCAAAATTATTTGTAAATTCAACCCATTGATCGGATATCTCTGGATGGTTTAGACCGTTGGTAACTTCATCAATTGAATGAGAAACCGAGGCTTGGTACATATCGATGTATTTATTTAAAGCAATATCCGGGCTGGTAACAACCACTTCCGTAAAATTTCAAAGCAGCTAAAGCTAAAATCTGAAATTTAATGTTACTTCATAGATATACAATAATAGAGAAAAATGTTACCCGGCTTTGCACATCCCAATCAGTCTTCTTTGTGGTCGCATGTACGGCTCAAGTAACTGAATTAAAAAACGGCACAAGTCTTTGGATAACCGAAATATTTTTATTTTTAATAAATTACCTTTCACTCAGTTCTATGAACGCATTCCCCGGATTGCGCAAAACATTAGGGCGGTATTGCAGTTCTGCATTTTCTAGGTTTCGAATGGCCAAAACATTCATTATCACTACTATTATTGATACACCTAAACCCAACTACAAACTTGGAACTATCAAATCTAATAAGCGCACTTAGAAAACATATCCTTACGATGCTGTCGATCCGCTCGCAAGACAACGCAGGGAAATTTGCTAATACGCAAAAATGCGAACACTTAAAAATTGGATTTTAGTGTTGATCGAAAAGTTGCGAACAATTTGCTAGGAAACGAATAGCCAAAAATTGCCCCCCAGGTGTACTTGAGAAACGAAAGACAGTGTTGTGTTTCTCGGCAGAGTCGTCAGGGAACGACCGTTACGACAGAGACAACCTATCTATCGCTCGTGTCGCACTCGTTATAACCTAAAACAATAACACAACAACATCACAACTATAACAAGACATTGTCTGACCGCATGTTCCAGCTATTTATGAATGAGATGCTCAGTCTATATTTTATTTTAAGTCTATGGTTCATACCAAATAAACTTTTAGTCACGTGATTAAGCTTGGCCGGCACAGCGTTGCCCACTTTTACATATTTTCTTTTAATCAAAATATTTTAGGAAACAAAAATAAATTAATTATAAATATAAACTCACCGGCAAAAAAAAACCGGCCTTTAAAAACTAGTCCCAATTTCAAAGTTGAATTTCTTGCGAACCACTCATTAGATTTTGATGATTTTTTTTAATTGTAAACTAATTCCTTCTTAACGGATGCTACCTCGGAAATTTTTATTCCGAATTTATTTTGAGCATATACAGTAGGGTGGTGCGTCGGTATAGTGGAATTTTTTTTTTTGAAATTGAAAACCCCTGTATACGGAAAAGTTGTGTTTTAGTAAAACGATAATGCAGTTTTTTTTAGATTTTATTCCACCACCTTCCACCCCCCAACCAACAGGTCCTAAATTTATTAAAACAAAAAAAATCGAAAATTGGAAACGCCTGTATGAAAAAAGTTGTGTTTTGGTAAGAGAATGGTGATGCAGTTTTTTTTTAGATTTTTGCTTTATCCCCGTCCACCCCCACAAATCCAAAATTGGTTTAAAAGAAAAATCGAAAATTAAAAACGCCTGTTAACTTTTGGTGAGAGGATGATGCAGTTTTCTTATTTGTTTCATTTTATCAATGCTAACAAGCTTTCTTTATGAAGAGCTGATAGATTCAATCAATTAATCAATTCTCCCCACTCCTTGAGTTGAATTAGGTCAAGAAAAATCCACTTTAGTTTCAAACACCTTTATTTACTCGCAAAAGTTATATTAGTTTAAAAATCTTAAAAAGACGTAAAAAGATTATTAATAACTAAAATCTTTTTTGGTTTCGAACTTTGGCATTTTTGCTCTGGAGTCTAAGTGTTTCTAATAAATCCATCGCTTCTTTTCTGTCACAAACCGAGCTGGATGCTTTAGTGACGAGTTTAACTGCTCTCTCAACTGCTTGTGTGTGACAAAGCAAACCCCTGACGTAGGAAATTGGAGAAGAATCGGGATTTTCCACAATTTGCTTCAAGTGATCTTCAGATAGACCTCTAGTAACAGGAGGTTCGTGGTATACAATATTCTGCCAATCTATCAACTATCAACTCAATATACTCCTTGCATTCAAAGTTGAACCGGAGAATAATAAAACTGCGAACGCCGTTACTATGGATTGAATTATCTTCATTATTGCGTACTTTTAAGATTCTGTGGTAGGCACGTTTTCTAATATAGATTCTTTCATCCCAAAGCATTGCTAGCAATATGTTCTTAGGGTGTCCGAAGTAACCATTTCTCTGAATGACAGGGTGGACTATATTTTTAAGATCATCTGTAAGTAATTACATAATCTGATGGTTTCAAAAATATGCTTGGGTCCATAAATGCATGAAGAATGAAGTTTGATTTTGAACCATATCTGTGCATAAACTTTCATTATGAACGTCCCGCTAATGTAACTGAATTAGTAGACGGGTCTTCACTAGAAGCATACAGTCTTAGAATTCTGTTCTCGTAGTCAACCACCTGGAGTGATTAAGCTGTTCAGGGTCGCGCTTTGCCATGCTTTCCGTCCAAGTACCACTCATGATTACTCGAGATATATCGTACATATACTTCTGATCCGAACTTAGATCGCTAGTAGGCATATCTGGAATGGAAGATTCAATTCTTGTAAAGGTAACAAAGGAAAGTTTTTCACAATTGGCCAATGCTTTTCCAATGGGTAATGGGTCCTTGAAAGCCTCGAGGGCCAGTTGTGGTCCCATCCAAATGCTGTACTAAATGCCTTAAAGGGAGTTCATTGGCATGGAACTGGCAGACAATCCATTGTAGTGGCCTTTGTAAGCTATTCTCTAACAGAGTAAGTAGTAGTAACTACAATTTCTAATATTTTCAAAACTTTTACTTCTGACGTATTTTAATTTTTCAAAAAAAAATTTTCAAGAAAGATGCCTGACTGTTGTAGAGGTTCGATTGATGAAGATAACACATTTTTCCTAATGAAATAAAACGAATTGGTTTCATTATCCACCTCCCCGTCGACCTTTTGCCCTTCATAGATTAATTGACCTTGGGGAGGTGGAAAATGAAGTCCAATAATTTTTTTTTTATAAGAGTAAAATACTTGGGTCTATCATAGACAAGTTTTCCGCACCCAGGAGTTTTGTTTTTTCTAAATTTCAAATGTCACACCACCCTAATATACAGGGCACAACAATCAGACGAAGTTTTTTGCCCGAACTTTGTAACACCCTGTATATTATTGGAGATACGCTGCTTTAAAACGAATGTCTCGGAAAAGTGCTTCGCAGGCAGAAAGTTTTATGTGTAAATAATCAAGGCGACATAGGCAAAAATGGATTTAAGAGTATTTGCAATATAACAACAACGGTTGTTAAATTAAAAAATGCCATTATCTGTGACGGATGTTGCTCGTATTGTGGCTTTAATTGAGGATGGCCGAAGTCAACGTTATGATTCCAGGATGCCTGGAATCGGTATATGGAAACGGCAAATTTCACCAGGCGAGTGGATTCCGGAAGAAAACGGAAGACAAATGCAATTGACGACCGCTTTATTGTCCTGAATACTTTACGAAATCGTAGAATTGCAGCGTTTCAGAATCAGCATCTGCTACAAGCCGTGCGTAGAACTCAAGTCAGTGAGAGAACAATCCAACGAAGACTAAAAGAAAACAGCTTGTCTGCAAGGAGGCCTGCCACAGGACCCCAGCTACTTCCGAGACATCGTCGAGCACGTCTTCACTTTGCGCGTTTACATGCGAATAGGTTTGGTCGCGGTTTTGTCTGCAAAGCATTTTTCCGAGATGTTCGTTTTAAAGCAGCGTATCTCCAATACAAACAGAGAAAATGTCGTGATTAAAAAAGCAAAATGCTCACAAAAGATGAGGCTACAATGTGATTTTATTTAGCAATAGGTACTACGGCTGCTGCACTCTACAGGGTGTCATAAAGTTTGAGCAAAAAACTTCGTCTTATTGTTGTGCCCTGTATATGCTCAAAATAAATTCGGAATAAACATTTCTGACGTAGCATCCGTTAAGAAGGAATTAATTTACAATTTAAAAAAAAATCATCAAAATCTAATGAGTGGTTCGCGAGAAATCCAATTCTGAAATGGGACTGGTTTTTAGTGGCCGGTTTTTTTTGCCGTTGAGTGTATAAACAGTTATTATTTACATCAACAAATCTTACTTTCTTAACAGCATTTAAGAGTCATAAATATAAAGTGAGTATTATATTACTATCGCTTTCCCGTTCAAAATATTCTAATAAAGTTGCGATGAGTTTTTTACGGCTATTATCATATCTTGTACCCTTTCGCACTAAAAGGGGTTCTAAAAAGAACAATGTTGGACTACAAGGTCAGTCAGTCAACATTTTTAAGCTTAAAGTATCACAACACTATTTATTTAAACCAAAAACTCATAATATAAAATTAAAGTGTCAAAACGAATGACAATGTCAGGAAATAAATAAATAAACGCCGCAACTTGACATTTTTTAGAGCAGAGCTACCACATGAATCCCCAGCGCGAAATTTAAATTCCAGTTAGTCAGCTCGGCGCCGAATATGTCCATGGTTGGCAACAATGAATTTAAAAATCGCGCCCTCGATTACGTAACTAAAAGTTTAATTGATATCAAATATAAGATGGTATTATGGTATGCAAATTTCTTAATGCCAAGCTTCCCTCATCTCTTTTCCACCAAATGCGTTTGCACTCATCATCAATGTCGCAAGAGAATATCAATCAATATTTGACAAATTGTACAGGGTATTTCAATTTCGTGTGTTTTATGGAGTTTTTTGTTTATGAGTAGAAGTACAAAGATGCTGTTTTTACATTAGTGTGTTACTTGACTTCTTTCTGACGACCCTCGTATATAGGTGATCTAATAACTTATCGAAAAGATGAAAAATTAAAATCGAATTCCATAGAGCTTTCGTAGAATTTAGTGCCGTAGAATGTAGAATGTTTAGGACGGGAGTTATGCCCGGACCCCATTAGCCAACACGCTACGCCAGACGATGCCATGCTACCCCACGTCATGAAGATCTGTGCGTACGTTTTTCCATTTAATTACATGTATTGCGTACACACTAGGCAACACGCGACGCCACCCGACGCTATAACACGCTATGACACGTGTGATGGTCAATTCTTCGATCCCAGATCTTACCGATGTGTGTTACGGCGTGTTGTTCCCCCCTTGCCTCTCTGGTCCCGCAGCTGTCTACTTTTGTATTTGATGCAGGTATGTCCCAAAAATAAAATATATCGATATTTTGAATCGATTCAACATCGGATATAACAAAATAGATCCAGAAAAAATCGGCAACAAAAGATTGATTTAATAATATCGATATTCGATTCTGAATATATTGTTGTAGTGGTATTATGATTATAATCTAATATCGGTATGGGTATCAATACTTCTAATATTTTCGTAACCCTACCGATAACTTTTTTAACTCTAATAAAAATTTCAGGCGTGTTAACACGTGTTAACAGGTGTTATTAAATGTGTACACCCATTCCCACGTCGCAACACGTGGGATAGCGTGGCATCGCGTGGCATGGCGTCGGGTGTTGGCTAATGGGGTCCCTGCTTTAATCACCGCGACCTTACAGATCTATTATTTGTCAGTCTCAGGGCTTTGACAATAGCCGGTACCTGAGACGGCTCCACAGAGGCCAGCTTTCCATCTTCGACATCAGCCGTACCAAAGTTTATGGCACGAACGATTGTCGTCTCGGCGCACTCAGTGATAATGTGTTTTCGTGTTTTCCCATTTTCCCACAGAATCTGCATTTGCCGTTGTTTCTCAGCTTCAATCTACTGAGGTGTTCGTTGAGGAGACCGAGTCCTATTAGAATTTACTGGCGTAACTAAATTTTTGCTGGAAAGTGTCATTCTCAGTCAGTGACTAACATCTTTAGTTTCATAAAAAAAGTAGCACAGTGATATGAAAACCTCATATTTGTGTAAACACACGAAAATGGGACACCCTGTACACTAACAATAACTCGATTATGATTTTTTTGGGTATAGGTTTCCTTATTAAACATTAAACGATTTCTGGGTGGTTTTAAATCATTTAACCAAGTCAGGTGGCACGGGCACATACAAAGAATGGTAGAGAGCAGAATCCCGAAAAAAATACTCAATTGGACACCACAAAGCAAACGAAAGAGTGGGAGACCTAGATGGAGTTGGAGAGAAGGAATAAACGGGGACATCAAAACAAGAGGAATAGACGAAAACCTCTGGACAGACAGAGGCCAATGGAGACTGGAAATCAGAAGACGGCGAAGAACGTTATAAACTGATTTGTATATATATATTTTTGTCGACGTTTCGATTTTTATGCAAATCTTTCAATATTCGATATAAGAATTCAACAGCCGAAACAACATCTGAGATGCCTTGAGAAAGATTTGCATAAGAAATCGAAACGTCGGCAAATAAATGATTTTAAAACACCCAGAAATCATTTAATTTTTAATAAAAAAGAACCTATACCCAAGAAAATCACAATTGGAATATTGAATAAAGGTTTAAGAGAAAGAAAGATATCTACTAACAATAAGGACATATTCTATGAGTATTTTTTGTATTTTAGGTCAGCAGGTGACAGCTTTACTACAACGACGTTTAATTCTTCACCTAGAATGTCTACTTATTTGGTAGCCTTGGTTGTATCTGATTTTAATTCAACCTCTGGTGATGCTTTAGAAGGAAGCTTAGAGAATAAGGTCTGTTTTATAACGTGTCACTAGAAAAGAACTTATTTAAACGGATAATAAAATAGCGTTTTGATATAAAATTTAGTTTAAAAATGGCAAATAGAAAATATATTTCTTTTCTTCAGGTCTTCTATCCTTTAAAATACTTGCAAAATATTTAAATTTTTAATAAAAAAATATTGAATCTGCTTCCATTGAATTAATACGAAATCATAAATATACAGGTTTGGTCCCGAAATGAAACAGCTGACCACAGAGCTTGGGCTCTGGAAGTGACACCGTCCATTGTAGAACATATAAATGCTTACACTGGAATTAACTACAGCCACTCGCTCTCCAAATTGGATCAGGTAGCAATTCCAGACTTTGCCGCAGGTGCTATGGAAAATTGGGGTTTGATCACCTACAGGTAAGAATTTTGGAGTATTATTCAGAATTTATTGAATAAACAACCATCGATGATTTCTTCAAAAAGAACATTAAAATGTGACAAATGATATGTGAAATGACAAAAGTGATATAAGTTAGAAAATTGTGGCGTGATAGAATGGTAATGGAAATAATTTCTGATCTAATATCGATATTTGGATAAAAATGTGATGTTTGGGAGTTCTATTTGATGTTATTGTGAATTCTACTTATAGGGACGCCACCCCTATAAATAAAATCCCTTATTCTTATTGATATCGAAATCAAATTTTCCATGTCAAAAATCACCCAGGCACCAATTTCCATCCAAATATCCACATTGCTTCAGAAATTATTTGGATAAAATCGAAATAAAAATTAATTTCTACACCCTGTATCTCTGAAACGAAGCATTTTATGACATATTTATACGAACTTTTTTACTTATTTTTATACAGGGTGTTCTGAATTGTATTCCGGAAACTTCGGTAGCATATTCTGCAGATTAAATTAAGTAAAAAAGTTCTTATAAATGTATGTCCTAAAATACTTAGTTTCGGAGATACAGGGTGTAGAAGTTTCATTTTTATTTCGATTTTTTCTACATCATTTCTGAAGTAACGTCAATATTTGGATGAAAATTCGTGTCTGGGTGTTTTGTGACACGAGAAATTTGATATTGATGTCAAAATGACTCCTATTTGAAGGGGGCAGTATGGGGGCAGTTTATATAAAAAACATTTTTTTTAACTTCACAATTGCCAGTTTTTCCATATTCTAAAAATAAATAAAAATAGCGTAGGCCACGCGCTGTTGCCAATTTACTACTTTTCCTTATAAAACAGAGGATCTAAATGAGACCGATGATACAAGATTTATCTGCGTTTTTTCTCCATTATATGTGGTTTTTCTGTTTTGTTAGGCCGAAGAAAAAAGTAACATAATTAAATGAAAAAAGTCTGTTTTGTTGTTTTCTTTTGAATCCAGTTACAATTGGAAGTGAGGTCGCTGTTGGTGAATAGAATAATGGATAATGTAAAAGTGAAAAAAATAACATCAAAATGTATTTAAGAGAGACGCTATATTATCTAACCTTAACTAACTATTTTCAGAATTATTTACTTTATGTCAATAATAAAATATAATAACATTATATTTTAACATAATATATAACGTACACTACATAATTGGCGACGAGGATGGGATAAATCTGTAGGATATATGTCCTAAAATTCTTAGTTTCGGAGATATAGGGTGTAGAAGCTTCATTTTTACCAAGAGACATTTTTACGTAAAAAATCACGAAAATGTATATTTTTTCACTCAGTAGTTTTATAAAGTACGGATGAAAAGTTATTACTCTTCAAAACATTTAAAACACATGTGGTGGCGCCCCCTATAAATATTCAGTCATATTGACATCAAAATCAAATTTATCATGTCAAAAAACTCCTAGACACCAGACCAACTTTCATCCAAATACTGACGTTACTTCAGACATTATTTGAAAAAAAACCGTAATAAAAATGAAATTTCTACACCCTGTATCTCCAAAACTAAGCCATTTTAGGATATACATTTATTCGAACTTCCTTACTTATTTTTAATCTGCTGAAGGGGGCCTATTTGCCACCTACATGCGTTTTGATTGTTTTGAAGAGTAATAACTTTTCGTCCGTACCTGTATAAAACTATTGACTAAAAAAATATACATTTTCATGACGTTTTACGTAAAAAATGTCCCTTGGTAAAAATTGCTACGAGCAACCGTTCTCAAGATATTTAGAATGGAAATAGTCGATACATGTCATTATTGCCAAAAAATAAGCACGTTGAATATAGTTATTTGACTGAAATAAGGCGTTTTTATTTTTTTTAATTAATCATAAATTTTTCTGCGATAAAATTACGATTAAACAGTTTCTGTTGAACTTTTGGCACAAAAATATTTGAAATTTGTGATTTGAGTCTAATAACTATTGAGTTAACATGTTTCATTTATGTCAATGATGACAGGTATTGATAATTTCAATTCCAAATATCTCGAGAACCATTACTCGTAGCGATTTTTACCAAGTTACCTTTTTTATGTAAAAAAAGTTGTAAATGTATATTTTTTACTCAGTAGTTTTATACAGGTATAGACAAAAAGTTCTTACTCTTCAAACCTGTTAAAACATATGTAGGTGGCGCCCTCTACAAGTAAGAGTCATATTGACATGAAAATCAAATTTCTCATGTCAAAAAACTCCCAGACACCAATAATTTTCATCCAAATATTGACGTTACTTCAGAAATTATTTCGAAAAATAAATCGAAATAAAAATGAAACTTCTATACCCTGTATCTCCGAAACTAAGTATTTTAGGACATACATTTATACGAACTTTTCTACTTATTTTTATCTGCAGAATATGCTGCCGAAATTTCCGGAATACAGTTCAAACCACCCTGTATACAGAATATGCTGCCCTGTATAACACTAAATAATTTATTATCAGAATTATTACTGTAAATCGTTAATTTAGCGATTTATATAAATCCGTCATTACGTTAGGAATTCAAACAATTTTATGGGCTTGTCTCTAAAGTACAGTTTGGAAACGTAATAATTTTCTGATAAAAGTAATAAAGTAAGATTTAGAAAAAAGTTTATTAAATAAAATTAAAATTGATAAACTAAACAATAAATCATTTCGTTTGAGTGTCAAAAATGTTTAAAATCCTGAAATAGTATTATAATTTGACAATTTGTTGATGATACTGAAATATTTAATGAGTGTTTCTGTAAAACAAATTGATTTTTCCAAAAAATTGGTTTAGTAGTTTTTAAAGCATAAAACCACAATAAAACCTAATAATTTCTTTAGACATTTATTTGTCTATCAATAGTATAAGTAATCTTTCTAATGTAAAAGGCTTATTTGTATTTGTTACTTTTAAAGATCATCTTTCAGAAATCATCCAAAATGATAAGTGTAAATTGTCTTTAATTATTGTTTCATTCAAAGTGTACCGGGTGGCCAACTAAGAATGGACGCGGGCTGTATCTCAGAAACTATTTATCGTATAACTTTGGCAAAAAATTCTAATAGGTAAATCGACCAATAGAAATCGCTGGAAATTACTTTCAAGTTCGAAAAATGCCCGCTAGAGGGCGTTTCTCTAATAGCCAATCAGAAAAGAGGGGTTTTCTCAAAAATATGCATATGAACAGGTACTTTAAGCCTAACATCATTTGTTCTCTTAATATCTCCGGTTAGAGAGAAGGTAGAAAGTTGCGGTTTGTGCTGATATTTTGGAAATGTTGTGCTCTATTTAACTGTGCAAAGAGAAATATAGCTTCCTATTTAATTTTTTTACGCAAAAGCGCAATATCTGTTATAATGTCAAACAGCGCCCTCTAGCTACCACGAAAAAAATTATGGAAACAAAATTTATACCGGAGATTATTAAGGAAGAAAAGCTCTTTCAAACGAGCCCTAGTTTGTTTAAATCGCTTAACCCAAACCAGAGTTATCTTTATTTTAATAAAAGCAAGTTTAACCTTCCCTCACCACTTTATTTTATGAGATACAGCAAAATACTTTATATCAAAAAAATTACAAATTTCTCGATGATTACAATAGTAATGTTTAAAATACCTTATTTTTGAGAAAAACCCTGTTTTCTAATTGGCTATTAGAGAAACGCCCCCTAGCGGGCATTTCTCGAACTTGAAAATAATTTCTAGCGGTTTCTCTTGGTCTATTTACTTATTAGGATTTTTTTCCCAAAGTTATATGATAAGTAGTTTCTGAGATACAGCCGGCGTCCATTCTTAGTTGGCCACCCGGTACTTTAAAGATGGACGATGAAACAATTTGACGAATCTCTGAGTTAGTTTTTAGGGTGCCGTACCTCAAAAAGGAAAAAATGCAACTCTTATAGCATCATTAATTGAAATTAAACGAGTAGAAGTGTAAATAATATTTTTTTTTGTTTTAAGAGAACGGGCTTTGCTTTATGACGAGCTGGAGACCTCAAACGCCTACAAGCAATACATAGCAGCTGTAATATCCCACGAACTAGCCCATCAGTGGTTTGGAAATTTGGTTACTTGTAAATGGTGGTCTGAAATTTTCCTGAACGAAGGATTCGCCACGCTGCTCGAATATTTAATTACTGACGAGGTAAGAATTTAAATGAGGAACAGACTTTCTAGATGCACTTTGTCCAATTTTTCGAGTTTTGGTAAACAAAGTAAAACTGCCACGTTTTTTGCAAGAAACTTACCGAAAAACTAGTATACCTAAAAAATGGAATAAAAAATCATAATAATAGTACACCTACATGTCAAAAATCTAGTTTTGGTGATATCTGAAAAAATTGAAAATTCCTTTAGATGTGAAATTATAATGAAGTAAAAAACATATACTTCGTTAAATTATAACATTATTACTTTTCATCAGGTTTTGCCCGATTATCAAATGGACAAACAATTTGTCATTAAAATTGTCCAAGCCATTCTGGAAGGTGATGCTGCTACTACTGAAGCTTTAAGAACTAATGCTTCTACTCCTAGTCAGATATCAGGAAGGTTTAGTAGCGTCAGTTATAACAAAGGAGGAAGTGTACTTAGAATGGTGGAGAATATTCTTGGAAAGGATCAATGGAGACAGGGTCTAAATGCCTACTTGAACGCCTAGTAAGATTTTTTTTTCAATTATATCTTATACAAATATTACCACAGACTATTTATTCGACAGCCAGTCGGTTTAGGGTCATTTACATGGAACTCTGCGTATCTACATAGATATTCACTTGTATCTCATGTGCAGAAGAACCGGTGCAAGCTGAAGTCGACTGGCTGTCTAATGAATAGGCTTTGGTATTATCTACATATATTTGATAACTTCAAAAATAAATGAGTAAGTGTATTAATAACTTCGCGAAAATATACAGTCATCTAGTAATACATAAAATATTTTACAAGGTATTTATGAAATAATTTTTAACTAAACAAAGCAAAGTAAAATAAAATGATCTAACTATATTGCCCAATAAAATATAGATAAATACTCAAACGATTTGTTTTAGAAAATATTGCATTTTTTAAGATTATTCTTCAAATATATGGTTAATAGCTTTTATTATGGTTTATTTGCGTCCTAATATTTTAGCATTGAGTAAGAATTCAACGTGAAACAACTGTTATTTGAGTAATTTAAGAAGAAAGAGACATATTATAGTTCTTTAGGTGTCAAGGAAATTATAAAACTGTTAATTACCGAGGAAAAGAACTGTCTCGTGGGCCTATGGCTCGATTAACAATTTATAATTCCCGTGGTACATAGATAATTTTATTTCTTACTGAATCTATACCAATATATAAAATCCTTAAGTGACTGACTCACTGACTAATCACGATCCTGCTCAAACCACTCAACGTAAGAAGCTCAATTTTGGCATACAGGTTGATTCTAGGGTGTAGAGGTTCGATAAAAAGGGAATTTTCGAAATTCCAGTTCCAAGGGGGTGAAACCACCCATCAAATATTACAATATTTTTTATTTAAAGAACGGTCGAGTTTCCGAAAAAACGCTTAAACATGTATATTTTATTTTGTTTTTTTACATATTTTAAGATTTTTTAAAAATGTATTCAGGGTGTTTTGAAAAATCTGGTCACTGATTAATCACAATCCTGCTTAAAGCGCTTGACGTAATAAGCTGATTTTTGGAAAACGGATTGACTTTAGGGTGTAGAGGTTCGATAAGAAAGGATTTTTCGAAACTCGAATTCTAAGGGGGTGAAACTATCCCTCAAATATTAAAATATTTTTGATTTAAAAACCTGTGAGTTTTTCGGAAAAACTCTTAAACACGTATATTTTATTTTGTTGTTTTACATATTTTAAGATTTTTTATAAATTTATACAGGGTGTTTCATAAAATATGACCATTGAGTAATCACGATTCTGTTTAAACTGCTTGACGTTTAAAGCTGATTTTTGGCAAACGGATTGACTGTGGGGTGTAGAGGTTCGATAAGGAGGGGTTTCTCGAATTTCAAATTCCAAGAGAGTGAAAACGCCCCTCAAATATTACAATATTATTTGTTATTTAAAAAACGGTTAGTCTTTCGGGAAAACGCTTGGACAAACATAATTTATTTTGTTTATTTACATATTTTGAAATTTTTTAAAAAATCATACAGGGTGTTCCAAAAAGTTGGGTAATTTCTTAACCACGATTCTGCTTAAACTGCATGACGTAAAAAGTTTATTTTTGTCAAACGGATTTTTCGAAAGTCGCAAATTCCAACGAGATAAAACTACCCCTCAGATATTACCAAGTTATATAATACTATCGCCATATTGTTTTTTCTCATGCTGACATAAATGTGAGAAAAATTTATCCAGTTTGTATGTTAATGGAAATTCTTGCTTTGCTTTATCATCACCATTACAAATGATTAATTCGACGTGAACGAAGTCGCTGGTACACGCTAGTTTTTTATATAACTGATTTCAGCTATTCTAAAGTCTAATAAATTTCCTTAGAAAATGAAAACAGCTTATTTTCGCAGAAAAATTTTTGTGTTTATATGTTCAGAAAAATATTAAAAATAACACGGAAAATGTATTTTTTTATAGCAGAGTTATTCTAAAGTGAGAAATTTGGAAATTACGCATTTCCGCAGGAAAATTTGTGTTTTCCGTGGTTCACAGTAGCCTTTTAAAGACAATTTTTTTTCTAATAACTGATTTCAGCTAAACGAAAGTTGACCCCAATAATTGCCCGAGATTATTAACACTATAATTCCCGTGTTACATAGATAATTTTAGTTCTTACTGAATTCAGTATATTGTGTTCAATTTTAAAACAACACAAAGGTTAGATTTATTAATATAAAAAATAAAATTTTGAAAATCACTCATTAAATAATATATCACTTTTACCTAATATAATTCTTTGTTTTAGTTCATACGATTCTGCTGAACCAGACGATTTGTGGAACGCCATAGACGGATCTCTTAACAACAGTGCAAGCTTGCCAGCAAATCTAAGTACGGTACTATCCAGTTGGGTAAATTATCCAGGATTTCCCGTATTGAGTGTTAGCTTAAACGGATCTCTTGTAACAGTCAGTCAGGTAAGAAATTTTAAACTTTATAATACATGAATAAGATAATTCATCATATTTTCAAGCTTGGTTTTGCTGAAAAAAAAACTCCTTAAAGTTGGCAAAGTCGAAAAAACTGATTTAATTTTAAATATCCGCCCAATTTTCTTTATTTTTTTCATTGATCCCTTTATAATAAGGTATGTAGATCAATGCAGTTTATTCATGGTTATCTGATGATTTGAATCAATAAAAACTTTAGAATCTTTATTTGTTTATATTTTAAACTATCAAAGACTCTATTTATTTGTTCTGCTATAATCCTCCTAGACAAAATTCAAATATCAATTTAAGTTGACACGTTAATCTTTTTGCATTGAATTTTTCAATATAGAAACAACTTATAGTTTTTCTAGATAAAAAATAATATCATAAACGTTTTCAATAAACAAGACTTAACTATTTTTTCAGTTAGGATGCTTGTGCTTCTCGATTAAAGGGATATAGATAATACTGTTTGAAGGTTGATAAAAGTATGATTCATGATATTAATAATGTTTATTATTATGATTATAACTACGGTCCTATAGAATACCGTCACTTCAATAAAAATCTTATGATTTATACGTAAGCAATGTAAATATGCATGGGGTGTCAAGATATGGTTCTACTAATGAAGTACCTTGTTTATTGATATTGCTAGCGAACGTTTTAAGGGTAAATAGAGATTGAGGTCTGTATTGCCAAAGTATTGTGATTTTGGGTCACATTATATAACCAAGTAGTTTTGTAAAAAGACTATAAGAGAAGAAAAACTACTTTATCTACAACCGTTTTAGTTATAACGTTTTTACATCACTATTTTTTTAGTATTTCAGTTACGTTATGATATTCATAACAAAACTAGTGGTGTTATGAATCTATAACACAACTACCGTATGATCGAAAAAAAATGGCGTCCAGTGGGCTTGGAAATGACGATCGATGACATTTCCCATATAATTTTACATATAAAATGACAGCGATCTTCATTTCATAGCCATCGCTGACGCCGTTTTTATTCGATCATACGGTAGTTTTTAAAATAATGAAAAACAACTATGAACATCTAAATATAATATTAATTTTTGATACAAATTCCTATTACTAATTATTATAAATATTAATAACACATTTTTTACACTTCTTCAAAACAATTCCTGCTGCTGATAATCATGACGATGATAATAGTGAAGGTCTAACTGAAATAGATTGGGCTGTTGATCGGTTTGGCTCGCATTCGGGCTGGCATGCTTCCTCAGCGATTCTTGATCCCAAAATGTGTTGCGCAACAATTTTCTTGTTTTCTTTTGATGTATCTATATATCTCTCTGCGACGGAACTACTTCTCCAACCTCCATGACGCTTAACCATTAGTAGATCTGCCCCCGAGTCCGCCAGCAATGCGGCAGATGTGCGTCTAAAAGCATGTCCTGTATACTTCTCCGGTTCATTAAGGCATAAAAAACAAGCAATTTTTTTAGTAAAAAAATGTGACAAATGTCATAGTTAAAGGTGTTAAAGGTGTTAAAGGTTATATAGGGCTATTGCAACAGTAAATTTTTATCAAAGCGACCTCAGGATATTTTGTCTTATATTTTACTCTGTATGGTAAAATTTTGTTTTACTACCCATCCTATAAAAATAAAACAAAATGAAATCTCTGTAACAGATTGCTTTACTTTTTGACTATACGAGTACACAATTTATCTAGAAATGATTCGAATTCGAAAAACTTTACCTGGGGAAGTCCTCTGATGATGCATGGTCCCTCTAAATCATTATATCAATCAACAAGTCATTGTCCACTTTTTAGATATTTACTTAATACGTTGTAATCAGTAAGACGAGTAATTAAACATGCAATTCACATTAAAAAACGTATATATTAATCAATTAGAGACAAAACAGTGCAATAACCGGTAGAGTTAATTCAAACTGTGTTTCAAACTAATACAAATTCCCAAATAATGCAATTCTGCATTTTCAGCCTGTCGCCTAAAATCTCTCGGGCTGATCGGGAAGTGATACATATTTTTATTTTGAGGCTCGCCTCAATACGGTCTTTTTACGCGCTACTACTCCATACATTTTATCTCTCTTCAACTAAAGGTTTTGCCCATGCTTTTTCTTTTCATTCTATAGATTTAAGATTCCAGTGAACGCTGTCGCTCCGTCAATGCGATATACCACAATACGTTAGACAAGGAAAGGCGAGAGGCAAACCTCTGCACATATACTTCTTAAAGAACAAATGAGATGGATATATATATATATCGTCGAGTTTGTCGCATATGGGAAAGGAAGCGCGTTTAAAGGAATACCATCGACGTAATTTATTGTAGAATGACGGATAAAAAATACAATTATTATTGATGCAAATAGGGAAAAAATATAAAATTGTGATTAAAGATGTATCGATTAATACGTGTAATTCTTCAAATGTATTGGTGAGGCACTGCCTCATCTGCCTCATAGGACAAGCCGCCCCTGATTACAACACTCGTGTGATTAGAACGACTCGGTCTACGACCTCGTCGTTCGTCGTTCTAATCGTTCACACTCGTTGTTGTAATCATGTTCATAAACACACTTGTACAGGGTGGACCATTTTGGTTGTTTCTATAGGGTATCTAGGAAACCGTGAGAAATATTCAAATTTTGATATTGCAGTCTCGGATTCTTTTTTTGAAAAAATTACAATTGCGCAAACGGATCGTAGCTATCTTGATCGGTTTCGAAGCTACAGGGGGATTCTCAAATTTTGTACTTTTTGAAGATGTTCGATAGTTTGTTTATTTCAGCAACCACGGTAAAATGAATTATACATTCTAAAGGCACTTTTCTGTGTAGAATGCAGTGGCGTAGTCAGACTTTTTTCGAAAAAAATATTTTTTGAGATATTAACTATTCTTATGTTTTTTTAAATAGAACTCCATCTATATTTTAAAATTTTCTTATTCAGCTAGGCATGGGCTTCTCGAAAATATATAACACTCTATATTTATTTTCACTATTAACCTCAACATTTCAAATTTTTCTTAAAATATCCACTTAGTGGATAGTAGGCCGCGCCGAGTAACAAAGTAAACGGTTGTCATGGTGATCGGAACATACTTTGATGGATGTGGGACATTTCATTTCAACAGATTGAAGTGTGTGTATTTTAAATAATAAAAAAATCAGTAAATGTGAAAATTTTGAAAAATATAATATGTTAGAATGTTATATTGAGTCTAACAAACATAAGAAAATGGCAGCTGATTTATATTTTGAGCGGTATCCAGAGCGCGAGCAACCAAACCCAGCCATTTTAAAAAAGTTAGAAGATAGTTTAATCAATTTTGGATCTTTTCAAAAACCGCGTCCCAAAAAATTATCATAAAGAAGATGAAGAAAATCAATATATTAATGTCCTCGGAGCCGAATACGTGAATTAACAATTAAATAAAATGGAACAATACCAAGCAAATAAAAAATAAGTGTGACAGAAACAAAAAAACATATTTTAATATAAACTCAAGAGGTTACTTCAATCGTTATTACTACTTCCTTCTCAGTTATTATAAAAAAAATAAAAACACATAGACTACATTAAATGTTCAGACTGTTGGCCATTAATATCTAGACAGAGTTGCAACCGCACGCCGCACGCCGCACGCCGCTAACACCATTTCAATAGATTTACTTGATGTTGTTGGATCTAGTGTTACGGCTCCGAGGACATTAACTATCATCCGATTAACTATCTTCTAACCTTTTAAAAATGGCTGGGTTTGGTTGCTCGCTCTTTGGATACCGCTCAAAATATAAACCAGCTGCCATTTGCTTATATGTTTGTTAGACTCAATATAACATTCTAACATATTATATTTCTCAAAATTTTAAAATTTACTTTTTTTTTATTATTTAAAATACACACACTTCAATCTGTTGAAATTAAATGTCCCGCATCCATCAAAGGTATATTCCGATGGTTCCGATCACCATGACAACCGTTTACTTTGTTACTCGGCGCGGCCTACTATCCACTAAGTGGATATTTTAAGAAAAATTTGAAATGTTGAGGTTAATAGTGAAAATAAATATAGAGTGTTATATATTTTCGAGAAGCCCATACCAAGCTGAATAAGAAAAGTTTAAAATATAGATGGAGTTCTATTTAAAAAAACATAAGAATAGTTAATATCTCAAAAAATATTTTTTTCGAAAAAAGTCTGACTACGCCACTGCATTCTACATAGAAAAGTGCCTTTAGAATGTATAATTCATTTTTCCGTGGTTGCTGAAATAAACAAACTATCGAACATCTTCAAAAAGTACAAAATTTGAGAATCCCCCTGTAGCTTCGAACCGATCAAGATAACCACGATCCGTTTGCGCCATTGTAATTTTTTCAAAAAAAGAACCTCAGACTGCAGTATCAAAATTTGAATATTTCTCACGGTTTCCTAGATACCCTATAGAAACAACCAAAATGGTCCACCCTGTACAATACTGTAAATAACTATTTCACTATGAAATAACATTTTATTATTGTTGCAAAGTAAAAAATAATATCCTAATAATTTTAAAATTTAATTTACAAAATATAATAATTCTTTTCTTTTCAGGAACGTTTTGTGTACAATAGCAGTCTCCAATCAAACACTAGTTGGTACGTTCCAGTTACCTACACTACCTCTAGTGATACATCTACCTTTTCTAACACTACCCCATCATTGTGGGTGACACCTGGAAGCAATTTGACATTTAATATTTCTTCAAACGAGTCATGGATTGTTTTAAATAATCTTCAGACAGGTAAGTCAGGTGTAATCCAATTGATATCGGAAAAAGCATTACTAGTTGAACAAATCTCAAAGTTCAACATACAAAAATCGAACAGAAACACTATTGATATTGATGGATTCTTTAATTCTAATTCGGCTCCTAAAGCGTTATTCAGAACCTCACAATTAGTGGAATACATTAGTGGTTTCAATTACACTTTATACTTTTTAGTTTACGGTTATTCACAATGTCTAAAAAACAATTAAAATTAATAGGATAGCAACATAAATTCTAGCAACAGCTTGCGTTAGTCAGTTGTATCAGTGTCGGCTCGTGACCCGTGGGACTGGGTAGGCGACAACATTTTAGTTTCGTCTATATGCCCCCCACAATGAGGAAAATGCATGTTTTTAAATAATGGTTTTAAAAAATAGTTCATATAATTACAAATTGAACAAAAAGAAAAAATTTTGATATCGGTTTCGAAATGCCTCTAAAATAAAACAATTAAATATTGTTAATTTAAATGGCCGGGCAAACGCTCTCTACCTCGCCTTGCCGCTGTGACGTCACCCGCCGTTCTTCTGGTTGAGTGGAGCCAGACGCGTGTTTATTTTACACAGGTTGCTTTTAAACGCTGTTGAATCCGAGTCAAAATTTTAGTTATTTGTATTAATTAATACATAATTAGTAATTAGTGATATTTATAAATAGTAATGGATGAGCGAAAACAGAAAAAAATGGTCCAAGTTCATGAAAAGAGATGAAAAGAAAAACGTTAAATTATCCTCTATTTTTACGATTTATTGTTGTGAAGATCATTTTGATGTAAATTGATATATTTATGTATATTGTCTTATATAGGTATATGAAATTTGAATGTACAGGGTTATTCATTATATTTTGACACCCACATACAGCCTTAACTGCAAGTTTTAGAAGAAAACATTAAATAAAAAAGTTGCATGGTTTTTCATATACTCTCTTTTAAAATTAATTCTAGTTATACAGGGTGTCTCAAAAAAGGTGGTCCAGAAAATTGTAAGTATTTTTCGCTTTTCAACTGTCAATATTTCGTAAACATTTGAAGATAGGTATAGGATATACATGAAATATATCTAGAATATCTAGAAATTTCCGAAGAATCCAAAAATATATAGGATGTTTCACTTAAAAAGTAACTTAATTTTGGCGTTTGCTTATGGGACACCTTGTATAATATTTTCATTACTGATAAACAGTTTATTTCCTATAATTTCGTAAAAAACAATCTTTAAAAATAAGAAGGGTAAGGGGTGTCAATATATAAAAAAAACTTCCTTTTTCACGCTATGCTCTGGAGTTATTTTTCCACGTACTAAACAAATATTTTGTCTCTTTTCACTTCTACATAACCTACAGCATTATCTCCATACGTCTCCCTACCTGATCTGAAAAATAAGTTTATAACATTAATATTTATAACTATATAAAAGTTCGTAACAGTAGGTACCTACTTATACTTAAATATGCCTCAGTACTACAAAGAATAAATGTTACATACCTCTCTGTTTTTTTCCTCGTAATTCAGCACCAATAAATTGGGAATTTGTATTTATAAAAGCAGCCAACATAAAAGCATCAACTTTTTGCAAGTTATCTGATTGTGCTTTTACAAACCCGGAATCTGCCATTACTTAAAAAATTCCCAGAACACACAACACATACAAATAATAACTGCACAAAAAAGCATAAAAAGCTCCTTCAATCAACGCTAAAAGCAACAAAAATGTCTTATTACGCCACCTAAATACGTACATAATCGGAACACGTCTGGCTGCTGCTGGCCATCGCGCGTCGACGAGAACGGCGGGTGACGTCAGACCAATAGAATATCGTTTCAATTCGCGAGGCGTCGTTTGCGTTATCCATAGTATTTTAATGGCCCGTTTTATAAAATTGTGGTACTGCTTTCAAAAAAAAAGTTTTTTTTTGCATTTACACATATTTATTCTAATAAATTGAACAGTTTCTGGCGAAAAATAAAATATATGCATCTTCCTCATTTACATAACCTAACCCAGTTCGTAAAATTATGTTATCTCTCGGTTAAAAATATAGCTCAAGAATATTTAGCACAAAACTAAGGCAAAAATAACAGCATTCAACGTAATAGCATAATGATTAACATAATGCACAAGTATAATTTTTTTTATCTCTATAGTTATAGATATATATAGTCTTCCCCAGCTCTCATCACATGTCCATACCAGACAAGTTGTCTTGTTTCTATGTTGTCTATAGTTGTGAATACCTTTCGTGTCTTTCTTCTTATATCTTCATTTCGAATATGTTCTGTTCTTGATATCTGACACGCTCTTCTCAAGAAATCCATTTCTACCACATCCACTCTTTTTCTGTTTTTTTCAGTCATTTGCCAGCATTCTGACCCGTACGATACAATAGGCTCTACTATCGATTTGTAGATTGTCATTTTAGTTTTTAATTTTATTTTATTCGACCAAAGTACTGAATTTTGAATTCGGATACATTTCTGCCCTTGTTGTGTTCTATGTTGAATGCCCCTGTTTGATGTTCCTTCTTGAGATATTATAGTTCCTAAATATTTGTATTCTTCGTATTGTTTTATATTGCTGAGTTCTAAGCTCCGGTCTACTTGTCCATCGTCTGCCATTTTTAGATATTCTGTTTTTGTCATGTTCATTTTCAATCCGCATTCTGCGTACTCCTCTTTCAATTTTCTGAGCATATAGTCAATATCTTCCTCATCATTAGCAACTATAACCAGATCATCGGCGAACAACAAGGTTGTCAAGCACTGATTACCAATCTGTATCCCCATTCCTGAGCATTTACTCTCTCCATACATCCAGAGCTTCCTTGACATAAATTTTAAACAAAGTAGGCGACAAGCAACAACCCTGTTTAAGGACTTTCGAAATACTGAAGGGTGCTGATATATTTTTGCCAATTTTTACGGCGCTGGTTGCGTTTTTATAAATGTTATGGTTTGCGCGGATGTATACTTTGTTTAGGCCGATTTTCGTCAGAGTTTTGAAAAATTTTGTTAAGGGTACCGTATCGTATGCTTTTTGAATGTCGATAAAAATCAGATGGGTGGATAAATTTCGAGCTATTCTCTTTTCAATAACTTGTTGTAAGGTAAACATATTATTTAAGCACGATCTTCCTGCGAAAACCACATTGCTCCTCTAGTTGTTGGCATTCCATTTCAATTCTCGTTTTCAGAATTCTACCATACAACCTCCCCAGGAAAAATATGACCACACGCAGATATATTCCTAATGAACCACATCATAGTGTTGAACATAAAATGGCTAGTTTAAATTTCTTAGTTCATAGATTACTTAGTTTCCCACTTTCCAACGAAAGATATGAATTCGAAAGAGATTACATTAGGAATGTAGTTGATAGAACTTCACTAGTTGATAAATTAATTAGAAAACGTAGGTATAGGTTAATGATTTCTAAAAATTCGACTTTTCAAGTGGAGAAAGATACGTCTAAATATTTTTCGATACCGTTTGATAGAGTTTATCGCGTGGTCTAAAAGGAATTTTTAAGAATGTCAATTATAAACTTGTGTATAGTGCTAATAATAAATTACAACCATTATTAGGTAATCCAAAGGATAAAGCACCTCCACTGGAAAGGTCGGGTATTTATGAAATTTCTTGTAAAGATTGTAATCAGAAATATGTTGAGCAAACTAGAAGATCAATATTAACTAGATTTAAAGAACATTTAGCTCAGATAAGATATGGTAGACCGGATAAATCTTGCGTTGCCGAACATATTGTTGATAAAGAACATTGTATAGATCTTAATAATTTAAAATTACTTAAACAAGTCTCAAATTACAGGCAATTAGATGCATATGAAAGCATCAGAATTAATAGATGTAAAGATAGTATGAACAGAGGCGACGCTCCATTTCCTTCAAGTTCTTTGTTCCTACTACTCTAGTGGCGGAAATCTAACTGTTACGCTCAGTGGGCTCTGACTCGGTTGGCTAGATTTTGCCACGCCCACTCGGTGCCCACTGAGCGAGTATATAAACGCTCAACTTGTAGATTGTACTTTAGTTTATAATCATCTGCTGATGATGCTAACATGGTTAGCGAAACGCGCGTCCAGTGTAAAAGTAAAAGTGTTTTGGTGTATTGTGGTGATTTAGTGCTTTTATTTTGCTGTGTAACACCAAAGGTTCCAACCCTCAACTGTAATATCTTCACTCAAAATTTCACAGTTTTCAAAATGACGTCTCTTAAGTAATGCTTGTGCTTCTGCTACCTTGGTTACGCATCCCAACAATCGAGGACCGTTTCGCATGTCAACATATCAAATTCTGACGTATTTTTCTCCACTTATTTGTTCAATATAATATCGAATAAGGGGTTTTCACCGATTAAAATCGTTATTAAGTCATACATATGAGAGAGAATCAATGTTTTTAAATGAACTGTTGCCAAAATCTCTCAGAATTAGTGATAATCGACAAAAAGAAAACCCAAAAGGAAGCTGAATAAATAATCGCGGTTAAACTGGTCTTGGGATTTAATCACTTATCTAAACAAAATTTATTCGAAAAATTAGATTTGCTGATTGGTCCATTTCACGATGAGGGAAATAATCAGAGGAAAAGTTAAAAGTTTGATAACTTTTTCTACTAACTGAAAATGTCTACCACTAATTTTGACGTTCTGAATGCTTACATTGACATTAAAGGAACAAACCTCTACGCCAATTGAGACCACTAATTTATTCCACTAATTGCGAAGTTCTGAATGAAGCTTTAAAAGGTCAAAATTGAATTGCGCTAATACTCCGGTTACTTCAACATCAGCAGAGCTCTGTTTTCTATTAAAACCTGTTTCTTTTAATAAGAAAAAGACCAAAAACTAACTAACCTTGCTGGTTATTGCCCAAACCTTGAAAATAGAAATACATTATTTTCAGCAAGAAAGAAGGATATAGACGAAATATTTGGAAATGCTGCTTTAATTTTATAAAGGTTGCTTTTCTTCCTTGGTTTTGATAGTCGGTAAATTTGCATACCCCAGAGTATACTGATGTTGTTTTTCTAGGTTACTACAGAGTCAACTATGATTCAACATTGTGGACCAGACTAGCCAGTGCACTTCAACAATCTAATTTCTCCGATATTCCTGATGTGAACAGAGCTCAAATCGTCAACGACGCCTTCAATCTGGCCAGAGCTGGTTCTCTATCATACGGCAGTTTGTTCAATATTACTGAATTTTTGGCTAGTGACACTTCTTATATAGTCTGGTACCCAGCCTTCAGTGGATTTGACTTTCTGTTGAAGAGAATCGGCGCCAATTCAACGCTGGGAAAGAATATCTCTGTAAGTTAAATTGTAAAAATTCATCAAAAATTAATACAAACAGAAGAAGATATGGTAATCGCAAAACAATTTCCGATGCACGTGATGTCACAACTTTGAGCGACAAGCGATGGCGACAGCGCTGCCAGATTGTGATGGACTTATGAGATTAATCTTAATCTAAAAGTGACAAACAATATATTTCTTATATCATTTTCTAAAGATTTTGACGTTTTTTTTTAATTTAATAACGAATATTTTAGTAATTAATTGATTTATTTGTTTTATAGCTTATTTTACTTATTACATATTGGCAAAAACTATAGTCCATTATGAAGATTATTCTAAGCGTTATTATGGGTTATTTATATATTTATTGATGTACATCTACAACGCCATAAGTGGTAATAACAAGTAAGAAGGTGCTATTAATGCACAAACTAACAATCACAGAATTTAATAAAAACAAACGTAGAAATAACTTTGAAAGTGGTTTAATGTGCTTATCAATCAAACTTACTTCTCTGATTATGCAGTCAAGGGTAATAAAGGACCTTTATTGTCACGTTCTCGTTCAAAATAGTTTATCAGGAAAGCTACAAGCTCTTTGCTTCGACTGTTTAAATGCTTCGGCATATTTTCAACACACAATTTCAAGAAATACAATACAAAAACTCGAAAATTTAGTTCTTAAAAGAACTGTTTGTGCTTAAAAGTGCAATTTTTAAAAAAAGACTATGAAAATAGGGAAAAAAAAACGAGACTTACTCACCAAGATTCAACAACACGGTATTATACAAAATAATGACTGACATTAGGATAATTGTCAAATAATAAACGACAACCTTGCTGAAAACGGTGTAATTTTAATCTAAATAAAATGTCTGTTACAATCTCTATAAAGTAAAATGGAGAGCTGCTCGGTAGCTTAAATTATACAACAAATTTAAACATTTTTGCCAAAATTTCATTTAGTCAGGTTTATAGACTTTAGTCGCTATGATTGATGACGTGCATCGGAAAATGTTTTGCGATTACTATAGATGCAGTTCTTAAAAATAGAAAAATAAATAAAAATGATATATGTAGATACAAAAAAAATATTTGTACATGTGTATTGTGTCTAAAATTGAATTGAAAACACGGTCACAGAACTACAAATTTTATTTAACATATTTGTCAAAATTCAAAGTAATAAAGTAGCCGTGGCAACATTGCAACGTGCATTTGTCAAATATTTAGAAGGCGTGTGCATGCCAACTATTATCCATTTTCCAGTACACATTTTTTTTCAACTTTTCTAAAATTTTAAATTAGATAACAAAAAATTTCCCCACTAAATACATTTTCTCAAACACCAACTAACATAAATCTAAGTAACAAAAAAAAATCTGTTTTTCTCTAAAGCAAATATAATATTTTTTCAGGATCATATTGGTCAACTGTCTCAATCTGTGATTGCATCTGTACCGTTATCATTCACCAATGCATCTGATCACATTTACACCCTGGGTCAAGTACAAGCACAATCATGGGCATGCAAGTTAAATAATACGAACTGTACTAATACTGCTCTGGAACTTTTCAGCAATTACAGCAGTACTTCTGTGAGGTTTGTATTTTATTTGGATGTTTCTGAGCTATACAGGGCGTCCACGGCAATTAAACGCCGGATTTAAAATTTATTTACATCAATTTATACAGTATGTCCCTATATTGTCTTTGCAAGAGGAAAAACTTTTTTTATTATTAACAGTTTCAGAAAATTACTTTGAATATACAAATTTTTACTTGTTCAAAAATGGTGAATTTTCCTAAAATTTGATCAACTTCATATTGTTTGCTGCTGTCAAGGTATCACATTTTTCGATAACTATTAATAGTTATTTTATATACAAGAGGAATTAATTTCGGGAGACGATAATGCAATTTTATCGTCGTGTATAAAATAATATTTTTTTCCATAGCGAATTACGTTTTAAAAAATATTCAGAAATTATTATTTCAAGGATTTTATTACGAGTAGAAAAAATATTGTGCTGGGTTGGCGTTGGTTTCTATGTAATTTGACAAATAAATAGAGCTGTCTCTTTAGTTGTCAGTTTTGAGTAAATAATTTTTAATTCTCTTTCGTGTCGATTGCTGATTGAATTGGAGTCAGAAATGGCTCAAAACGAAATAAGTAAATTACCAACATGCAGATATTCAGGCTGAGGCGACAAATGCCATATCCAAACTACTTCCATTTAAATCCCGAATAATTTATGAAAAAGAATACAAAAATTTTCAAAAATGGAAGCAATTAAAAAACGTGCGAAAAGAAATAAAGTTTTTAACCTATCCTCGCTGTTAAAGTATTATTTAATCTACTTTTGCGGTTAAACTACTATTTTTCTACTATTTTTGATAGATATTAGGCAATTTTAACAGTTGCTATGGAAAAAAGTAAATTTTGTGCTTCTTTAACTTCTTTAATAACAGCAAGAAATATGACGTTAATTAAAATTCTATCAATAACAAATCTATCAAATAAGAAACACGAAATTATGTTACCACAGAAACGCGTTTTAATTTTTAGGAAAAATTCAACTATATTTTCATGCTTTTTTTTTTAATTTTCTCTAAAATGGTATGGAAATTTGGAAAAATATAAACGGGATTAACCATTTTAGAACAAGCAGTTTTTTTTCTGAAAATGTCATTAATAAAAAAGTTTTTCCTCCTGTAAAGACAATCCAAGGACAAACTGTATAGAGAGAACAGTGAAAACAATGAAGTGGCATTTATTTGAAAATTTCACACCTCTACTTTTCAACCAATAACATGCTTTAATGTTGACTAGTTACCATGGCAACTGAAAAAATTTCCGGAAATTTTTTCGAGGCGCCACGAAACTTTAGTGGAAATTTTTTGACAGTTGAAAAGGTAAACATAAGATCTACAATCATAATGTGAATGAACTACAATGTCTATATATTGAAATATTACCCATTTGAGTTTTAGCAATACCTTGGCCAACTTAACAAATTGAAATTATTTTAAAATGTCATGTTGGATTAATATTTTTTTTTTCAAATTTAGGTGTGAAATTTTCTTACCGAATACCACGCAAGCTTAAATTATTCCTGGAAATTTTCTTTCGGGCACGAATACTTTAGGAAAATTATCCCTCGTCTTCGACTCGGGATAATTTTCAAAATATCCGTGCCCTCAAAAAAATTTCCGAAAATAATTTAAGCTCTTGTGATATTATAAGTGAAAATATTTCCTCAAATATGCCCAGGAAAAATTTAAAATCGTTTTTTTTATAAATTTTTGATCATAAAATTGATCAATTTTGCTATAGTTTAACGCTCTTATGACAATATTTAATTTATTTCAGACCAGACAAAAACCTGAGATCTATAGTATACTGTTACGGATTAAAACACAGTACTAACATCAGCAGAGACTGGGAATTCTTATGGAATGCCTTCTCAAACACGTCATTATCTACTGAACAAGTTACCATTTTAGCTGCTCTGGGATGTTCTTCAAACGAGTCAATTTTGCTCGGGTAAGTCGACATATTCACTAGAACATTTATTTTTGATTACTTTATAAACTTTCTGCTTCCTGACAGGTATTTGAACAAGACTTTAACCGATGATAGCGGTATAAGATCGCAGGACTATGCTTCTGTTTTTGCTGCCGTTTACCAAAATAGCGAGATAGGTGTGGATGTAGCTTTAGATTTCTTCTCCGATAACTACAACTCGATTTTGGAGCGATACACCAGCTTGAATGCCGTTGGGAATATTTTGAGAAATATTGCTGAACTGATAACAACCGAAAGTCAGCTAACCAAAGTAAGTAAACAATACTTCTGACTTTCATACATGTGGGTGTCCCAGAAATAAGTGCAAATATTTTAACTGGTAGTACAGTTCAACCCCAGAAACACGCCTATGAGTTTTTTTCACGAAAAAAAATATTGAAAATTCGGATTTTTTTGAATAACTTTTTGGGAATTTTGCCTCAAACCTTTGATATTTGAAAGTTACCTAAACTACACCCTCTACATCGATAAACTACATGTAATGTAGTTTATGTAGTTTTTAAGAGTAACATGTAGTTTTCCGAACCCTGAATATATGTGATTATCTTTGAATAAGAAGACTAAGGAAGGAGCATATTAAAAATCTTAGGTACACCGCGATGGGCCTCAAATATGGCCGACTTAAATTCCGGTTTATCAGTGTCGTTCTAATTTTATTTAAAAAATGTAAAACTATGATGTAGGGTAGACGTGGGGTAGACTCAATAATTTGTTGTTTTATTTTACGTTGTGAATAAATGTTGGTAGTTATTAAAATTGTTATAAAAATATATAATTCTAATAAAAATAGATAAGTTATAATAAGTATTTATTAACACAAACATCCGATACGCTACTGAAGCAGGTAAGTCAAATTAACGTATCTAAATTCTTTGACATCTAATCTTTGACAAGTAATAAATAAAAGCTAAAATGCAAGAAAAATATATAATTTAGTTAATTTAAGTGAATTTCATAAATGATTGGTTTACTACACATATGTATATTATATAGTCACTTACTAGCGAAAAGTTGTTCCATTATTTCACTCAATTTTTGCCGAGATCTACCGCACGCTACACAACCAACTATTTTAGAGCCTTTTTCGATAAATCGCGATAGTGTCACTGTTAATTTAAGTTCTGCCACAATTTCCATCTAGATTTACTACCTTTATACAACTATCAGTAGTAGAATATAATAGAGAACAACGGCATACGGTCGAGTCGGCCTACAAACACGTAAACGTTTACGTACGCATGCGCATTTCTTATATTTTTTATTTTTTATACACGTAAAAGATTCTTTACGTCTACGTATACGTGCCAGCAGCGGCCGACTCGACCGTATGCCGTTGTTCTCTAATAAATAACATAAAATAAGCTCCGTAAAGACTGACAAATCCACAAAATTTCAAATCAAATTCAAATGTGTCAAATGAATCGTCAAACAGAACTGTCAAGGATCCCCACCCTAGAGAGCTTTTATGGTGGCTTTTCCGCCCACCATGCATGTATACATGGATAGCATTATGCTCCTTCCTTAGTCTTCTTATTCAAAGGCGATTATCGGTTATACTGACTCAATATGTTTCTATTTTTTTCAGTTGAAAACTCTTGTTTCTTCGGGGAAACTGAACGGTACAATTCTTGAAGCTGCCCAATCAGCACAATCGTCAGCAGAAAACAATTTGGCTTGGGTTAGTACCTACAGAAGTGAATTGCTCGAGTATTACGGGTTGGCAGACGATACAAGTACCACCACCACTAGTACTACTACCACGACAACTACTACTACTACTACTAGTACAACTACTAGTACGACTACTACAACAGAATCCTCGACCACGCCAAGTGGAGCAGCTCCTGAGAGTTTACTTACAAGCGTCTTAATGATATTCACTGTTTTGTTATTGAAGCTTTAAGTTATTTTTATTTTTTGTCTTGTTACAGTTTTCGTAATATAATTAGATTAGAAACCTATTGTTAATAAATTAATTAAGTAGTTAATAAAGATTTATTTTTATGGTTGTGTTTAATTTAGTCTTTGTTATTATCAGACATTAAATAATACAACGGTTATATAAATTTGTTAAAGTGTCTTAATGATGATGCATCTTTCTGATATTCTAATTGTTTATACCAGGTATTGCAAGAATTTACAAAAACATTTAAAAACGTTTTACATGTATACATTTGTCTAATATTATAGCTAATTTAATCGGCTGTTTTTTTAATTTTTCTATAACTAAATTGAAAAAAGCGGAAAAGCTACCGGCCCCGATAAAATAAACGTTGAAAGACTTAAACTCATTACAGAAAACGAAAGCAGAAGTCAAAAGACAAATCATTTAACAGTCAGATTGGCTTAAATCAACATTCGTAACTCTGCCAAAGAAACCCACGCCTCACAATGTGATGACTATCGGATGATAATCCTTATGTCCCATGTCCTCAAAACCTTTCTTAGAATCATCCACACGCGAATCTACAAGAAGTGCGAAAATCAGATGGACAACACCCAGTTTAGCTTCAGAAACGGACTCGGAACGCGTGAAGCACTCTTCTCCCTAAATGTAATGACACAGAGGTGTAGAGACATGAATGTGAATGTATTTGCATGCTTGATAGACTATCGTAAGGCATTCGACTATGTTAATCATCAGAAGATGACCAAAATTCTAAGAACAACCAGAGTTGACGCACAAAACCTACATTTCATATCAGATCTTTATTGGCATCAAACGGCGGTAGTTGAGATGAAGCAGTCAACATCGGAAGATATACAAATCAGACGGGGTGTTCGGCAGGGTTGCGTCTTGTCTCCGCTCCTGTTTAACCTGTACTCGGAGACTATATTTAGAGAAGCACTGGATCGAATCCAGGGCGGAATCAAGTTCAATGGAATCCCAATAAACGATATCAAATATGCCAACGATATACAAGAACTGCAAAGCAATATAGATTCCGTAGTCCACTATAGTGAGATGTTTGGACTGCATCTCAATGTCTCCAAGACCAAACTATTGGTCTTTTCTAAGACTCCAATAAATGCACACCTGCGTGTGCATTTATTGGAGTCTTAGGGACAAACAATCGAACAAGTGACCTCAATAAAGTATTTAGGAACTAACATCAATAGTCAGTGCGACCCGAAAAGAGAAATATTTTCAAGAATTGAGCAAGCGAGAAAAATCTTCGTGAGAATTAAATCATTTTTTACAAGACGAGACCTCAGTGCGGAACTCAGAACTCGAATGGCCAGATGCTACGTCTTGTCTGTGTTACTCTATGGATGTGAGAGCTGAACACTGGATTCACAGACCGAAAAGAGAATAGAAGCCTTCGAAATGTATGTATACAGACGGATGCTGCGAATCTCATGGGTACAAAGGATTACCAACGATGACGTACTCCAGCGCATGCAGAAACAAAAACAGATACTGAACACCATCAAGGAAAGAAAAATGCAATACCTGGGTCATGTGATGAGAGGTGGTAGATACGAAATACTGCGCCTCATAATAGTGGGCAAAGTGCAAGGGAAAAGATCAGTAGGAAGACGCCAGAACTCATGGCTAAAAGATTTGAGGAGATGGTTTGAACGCTCGACTCGGAAATCTTCCGGGCTGCAGTTTCCAGTTTCTCCTCGTGGATACTATGCTGTAATCTTTGTGGTCCATCTGCTGTCTGTTCTTCTTGCCAGGTGTCCTGCTCATTGCCATTTGACGGATTTGACTCTGTGGATGACATCTATTTGACATGTTTGCGTTAGATTACTAGAAAAATTATTGATTCGAAGATTTTTTATGTAGAAAATGACACTAGTAAAAATTTGTTAAAAAAGTGCAAGACCATTCTGGACTACGACCAAGACTGGACCTTGAAAGACTGATACAGTCTTGGTCTTTCATTTGCTCAAGTGTAATAAAAGATACAAATTTACTAACTTGTCTGAAAATCTGAGCAAACTTAAAACTAAGTCAGTGATTTCCTCATTTTCATTAACTTGATATAAAAACTGCTCCAATTTGTTATCATAGAACAATATTATCATATTTATTTATTAGAAAATCTAAAAAAATATATATTTAGATACGATATGCAACGAAAACTAGGACGATAAGATTTTAATTATCCCTAATATCAGAATTATTTTTCACAGTATTTCACATATTAATAAAGATGAGAAAATTGTTATAATCCCAAAACCAACAAGCATTACGTTGTGGTTTTTTGACATTTCTAAAGATTACGAGGATCTTACATCGTTTGATGTTATCGATTTTTATTACTTTTTGATCGATTTGTGAACGAAAATCCTTTCATTAGTTATTAGAGGGATTTGGCAGATAATCCCTTTATGTGAAAAAATCTTTAAAACCAATTAATAAAAAAATGTAATTATTTATATATTTTTGTTTCCTAGAATATACTTTTTTGTGTTTCAATATATCATAAATTACAGAAAGCAACATATCCATTTTCGAAACTTCTTCTAGTACTAAATTTGGAACAACCAGAATAAACATCATGCAGTGTATAAATAACATCAGAGGCGTGCGATGAGATTTTAGGTAAAAGAAGTCAGTTTTTGAAAGTTACCTATTATACAGGGTGGTCCGAACTGTATTCCGGAAACTTCGGCAGCATATTCCGCAGAAAAAAAAATTCCGTATAAATGTATGTCCTAAAATGCTTAGCTTCGGAGACACAGGGTGTAGAAGTTTCATTTTTATTTCGATATCTTCCAAATGTATTTGCCACTTTAACCAACCATTGTCTTCCATAGCCTTTCGCACAAAGAACCTACTCGAACGATAGCTTCCAAAGTACGTATAGCACGTGAAAATGAATGCAAAAATTGTATCAAAACACACGCTACACTGCAGGGAAGCTAGTAATCGTCTAGTTTCTATTCGTTTTTCTATACTGTGACTTGGTCGGAGTCAAATCAGTTTGTTAACGACCTATCTATTTATCATTTAGCCTTCTTTTGTGCATCATTGGGCATAGATCTCCCCCAATCTCTTGTACTCTTCTCTGTCTATCACCATGTTCATCCACCTAGTTCCTGAAAGTTTCTTTAGATCGTCCGTCCATCTCATTTGATGCCTTCCTCTACTACTTTTATCTTTCCAGGTCTTCCAGTTTATAATGCATTTGTTCTACTGATCGTTACTACTTCTCTTCTTACATCCCTTACTTTTGTTATATTTCTGTAGCATTTCTCTTTCCATTGATCTTTGTGCTTTTGTAACCTTATCCATGTTTGATTTTTTGCACAGGCTTGTTTATATTTCACCTGTTTAGTTTCCTTTTTTCACTTTAATACTTTGTTCCAGATTTTGTCTTTTTATTTGGCTCCGAGTATTGATAAACCACTGTCTGCAAAAATTGTAGGAATATTTTTGCCGAACTATCAGAAATGAGGCTTTTTTGGAGCTTAACCAACTAGTGAAGCAGGTGTATAATGAGATCAAAGTGAGGAAATGGAGGTGGATTGGTCACATACATCGCTGGCAGAGCTATTGAGTGGAACCCACAAGGCCTGTGAGAAAAAAATCACAGATTTTGCAACATGTGCAACCATCATAGGCGTATTGAAAATACCAGACACAAGTCGGCGGTTGTCGACAATCACCTGTTTTTTTACATTTTATATTAACTTGTGGCGTCATTTGGGAGAGCTTAATAGAAATATAAAAGAACTAAACCTTGTTCGTTGAAAAGCAACTTGACATTCGTGACGACAGCACTCTGGCAGTCTAACGCAAACGTATCATTGATAGCTATTCACAAATATATTCCAGATACGTATAGTGAACAAGTTTAACGTTCGCAACGTTAAATAATTTTGATATATGATTTTTATTGTGATGGTTTTGTGTAAAAGTGTGAAAACAATTTAGTGAGGAAAATATTAATGATGGATATGAACGTGTGCGGATTCGTCATTGGTCACGATCACGGTCACGACACTATGACGGGCTCCTATACCCACGTAGGAGCCCAAAATATGCAAAAAGGGGGTCAGTTTAGCTTAAGTTTAGATTAGGTCTATATTTTTTATTAATGCAAAACCAACTAAAACCTAATTCTAATCTAACCTAAACTCACTTCTTCTTTTGCATATTTCTGGCTATTACCTGGGTATTCCTAGGTTTAACCAATATTCGAACTTAGGCGTAAATTTAAATTTATGGATGGCCCATAAATTTATATTCGCCGTACAAAAAAATACTTTTCACCAATTTTCACAATAAAAATTAAAAGTTATAAATCATAATATTTTTTATAGAAATGAGGGAATAAGGATGAACGGGGTGCCGCGCCGGTAGACCAAGAAGATACTTGGAATGTAAATGTTAATTTATACTCGAATGGAGTTGCCTCACAGTATAGGCATATTTTGAATCCCTACCGTGCATAGTTACTGTAGATAAAAATAAATTAAAATTTAGTTGGCTCCAACGATAATTTAGTTTGCAGCTTCTTTTCATCATGCCTAATAAAAAACCGTCACAATCACTACTCATAGTATGTACCTATGTATTTTTAAACATCATTATGAAATTAAAAATACATAGGTGGCCCATAATATGAGTAGCGGTATTTTTTTTTCGTTTCATCATAACGGATTTTGTTGTGCTGAAAATAAGCAGCAAAATATATTATCGATTGCAACAACTATACCTAGTTTATTTTTAGTATATCCAATTAATATAGAACATTATAACTATGCATACTTTTAAAAATTTGCTACCAATATATTGTGATAGTTGAGTTTTTGAAATTATTTGTTAGCTTCTTAAACAAAACAGACCCATAATAATTCAAATCTTTATCATTCAAGACTTCCAAGAATTATGAAGTAATCTCACGTCAAAATTTTTTAAAATTATTGCATGCCTTAAGTATTTGCAAAGTTAACAAAAATATTTCTTTGGGTACCTTGCAATTAATATATTTATTCCAATTTATCAGTTCTGCATCATATCCGAAATTTAGATTGTGTGTGACACAACGAAGAGTTAAAGTGCAACGTGAACGACCAGAAAAATATCAAGTAAAAAAAAATTGTTAAGTTTTAATTACTAGTTACGCGGTCCTTCCCCCCCCCCCCATATTGGCTTCCCTCTTGCCTAAAATCTATATTGTCTTTCCTAACATTTTAAATATAAATGATTGAAACTCATACAAGTTTACCATATTTTAAACTTAAGATAGTCCCTAATTATATTAAAAAATAACACTTACGAAGTTAATAAATATTAACCATTTCTACTTATTTTTAATCATTTAATAATTCTGATAAAAACACGCTTGATTTTTTTATTTTAGAAATCATACCGGCTATAATAATTAATATGACTATATTAACAATACTTAAATATTAAAATTTATTTGAAGGAATGCTACTGTATTTCAATAATTGTAAAACACGTATGTTTATCGATGTCGGCGTCTTGTCACTTTTATTTAGTCTTGTCAGTATAATTTTATTAGCCGTTTAGGTATAGTTTGATTTCAGATAATGCAGATTTTAATGGGCCATTTATGGTTTTTTTATTTGATTTTTTTTGCATATTTGGTATATTCTATGAAGTGATTTTAAGTGTTCCTGACCATTTTTCAATTATTAAAGTGCCTATTTAGATACATTTAAAATGAATTGATTAATGTATAGTATTTGTATTATGAGTTTGTTTATTTTTGAGATGTATTTTTTTCTCATTAAAATAAACATAGCTTACTAAATCACTAGCTAGCCATTTTTAAATACAGGGTGCTAATTAAGTATCTGGCCAAGCTTCAGGAGGTGATTCTTTGAGTGTTTTAAGGTAAAAAGTTCATATAAACATGTGTCCGGAAATGTATAATTTTAAAGATACAGGGGTCAAGGTGTTTTCTAATAGACCTTTTTTATTAATATCCCAAAGATCCGTTAGCCGATTTTGTTGAAATTTCGCCATGTTGTGAACTTTGCTAAATTAGCACTAATTAAATGATAATTATTATTTACAACAATATTCAAAGGATAAAATCTTATTCCAATAAATATTTGGCAACGCCTTGGATTCATGTGTTTTTACGCCTGTTGGCGGTGGAAACCATGCAAGCTTTTTCTTTGGCATAAGTAGTTAATTAAAAAAATAATAATCATAAAAAATATAGGTCCTAATAGCCTAAATTTTAGCAAAATGTATCAGCAGATCCGATGAGATCCGAGTTATTATGTTTTGGAACTTAATTATTTAATTAATTATTCCTTTTAATGCATTTACCTATCCTACGCGCCAAGAAAAAATGTTGCATTAGTCTAAATTTATTATTTATGTGATTCCACTCTTTCACGTATAATTTGCCCCTTGCTTCTCATACGGAAAGAGTTAGATTAAAATAGCCAAACTGTACCTAACAACCCATATGCCTTGACGCATATTCTTTTTTATAATAATATGGGCTTTCTTTATCCGCCGGCCCAGACAAACATCCATATCCATAAAATAGTTGGCCCCCACACACACACACACACACATTGATAAATTAATAAGACCTCATTTCGGCCCTCAAACGTCCTTCGATGATCAACGCCGGCTAAACTATCGACTTACGTGGTGACAAGTTGATTAGGCAGGTTATTGAACTCGTGTGGCATCGAGCATGTCGTTTTTTCAAAGATGGGTCCCATATAAACGCGGCCAGAAGTATTTTCAATACTAAAAACAATTAAAAAGGAGAACGAAACAGTAAACCGATCATGGCGAGATGTTAAAGCAATTTAAAACAGCTAAACCCGTGGAGAGCATTTACTGAAGCCTTATGCTCCACGTAGGAGTAAAGGACAAAATGAAATGAATATTAGGGACTTTATAAATAAGATTTTTAGAAGATAGTGTTTTGTATTTTCTCTAAGGATATCACTGCTGCCATCGACTGCACGCCACTGAATACCATACGTTTTCAAACTTAGCATTATAAAACTTAATCTTACCGTCCGCAATCATTGTCCCTGAAGCGGGAAAATAGAATTAAAATTAAAAATTTTAATAATCTTATTCACGATAAGATAAAGCGTATAAAATCAAAAAATCTTCATCATTCGGTGTCATATGCCCATTCAGATCCTTCTGCTGTGAGGGATAGATGTGTCTTGATTAGGATTAAGACACCAAAAACCAAGTTTTTTGGTTGTTAGAAACGATGGGCAAGTATTTGTTCGGGCTGGTTGTTTCCTGTTTTCTCCTGAGTTGTTTTGCTCAGGATGATCCATACAGGTTGTCGGGAAACTTGATACCTTCTGCTTATACCATAGACCTCACAGTTGCGGAAGATGTCTTTACTACAGCTAGTTACTATGATTTTTCAGGTTAGTAGTATACATTTTTAATTTTTTATATATCAAAAAATTTTAAATTGTAAAATATTTGATTTTATTTAATTACAGGAGTCGTTGGTATAACTTTCACAACTGTAGAAGCTACTAGCGAAATCACACTACATCGGAGCTCCACTATATCGATTCTTTCCACTTCCCTTACTCAAGTAGGAAGTAGCGCTAATACGTATACTTTAACTGAAGAGTACAATTCGACATTGCAATTTGCAACTTTTACTTCTTCAGCAACTTTAACTGCCGAAACCACATATCTTTTAACCATCTCGTAAGTAAAAATTACTATTGTTTTGTAGAAATAAATTTTGTTTATGCATTTGTTTACAAATTATTGGTATCTTACTAATAAGGATGAAGTAATAGTAATTCTCTAACTGGATATATACTTAATAATTTTTGTGTGTTTCAAATTACTAGTTTAAACAATTAAGTTAAGTTAATTAAGAGTCTATTACGCTGTATTTTCGAGTCGCTGTCAGGGTAAAGCGGGTGTGTGGTCGAAGGAAATATATATTATATTTCAGAAATCTGCCTAGGCTTAGCCCGATCCTGTCCTGTTAAGCCACACCTACAATTCCAAACACACGTGCTTTGATTAAGGTTTGCAGAGCTTCAGCATTTGCCATAAAATAGCGAGCAATTTGCTACAAAAGCATATAAATTATATATCACTGTAATCACAAAACTTCAATCTATTTCCGTATTGTAACGGAATTTTAAATTATGTCTTTATTTTCGAGAAAATTTAGTCCAAACATAAGGAATATTTCGTTGATGTTTGACCATCAAAATCTTTAAAATAAAGAAGTTGTTTGGAAATGTGCTACAATACAGATATAGTATAATCCTTTATCTTTAATTTCCTTCTTCATTTGTGTAGCTTGGACTAGTGAAATGGATTCTTAACGATTAATTTGTACCATATAGATAATGTATCTATATGTTTTTTTATCTATATGGGAAAATTCATAACAAAGTCCATTTTTAAACATTTCTTACTTACTTACCTAATTTTTATAGTCATGTAAACATCTTAAATAAAATTGAACTGTTTTTACATTCTTCTCCAGATATAATGGAGTTTTGGAAGGGCAAACCATGCGTGGCTTCTACAAAAGTTCCTACACCGACGCCAATGGAGACACCGTTTATCTCGTAACCACCCAATTTGAACCCACTTCTGCCAGATTTGCGTTTCCATCTTTTGACGAACCCGACTACAAAGCAACTTTCGAAGTTAGCATCACTCATCCAGCATCAGTGACAGCGCTATGTAACACAGCCAATTCAAGTATAGCTGCTACATCAGAGTAAGATATATCTTTACCTTGAAATTTTACCACTAATTATTTGTCCAAACTTTTCGCAGCCCAAATGTAGTGAAAACCTCGTTCTACAAATCGCCAGTAATGTCAACTTACTTGGTGGCCTTTATAGTTTCTGTATTCACTTGTTCTGAGGGAGATACTATTGAACAAAGTATCCCACATAGAGTCTGTTCAAGACCCGAAGAGGAATCTGCCAGAGACTGGGCTGTAGAAATCGGGCCTCCACTTATGCGGGCTCTTGAAAGTATTACTGGCATAAAATATGGTAAGTGCATATTAACCAAAAAGTGCCCCAAAAAAGATAAATTAAAAAAAAATAAAGAAAATTAAAATACGATGATGTTACTGACATTTTGGACAAATTTTAGTTCATCCCATAACTTGCTGACTGGATATTTCTAGGTGAAAAAATTGGAAAGATGGATCAAATTGCTCTACCCGACTTTTCTTCCGGTGCTATGGAAAATTGGGGTTTGGTAACCTACAGGGAAACAGGATTGTTGTGGGATAGTGAAGAATCATCAAACGGTTACAAGAAAAGCATAGCCACAGTCATTGGCCACGAGTTTACCCATATGTGGTTCGGAAATCTGGTCACTTGCAAGTGGTGGGACTACCTCTTTTTGAACGAAGGTTTCGCCAGATTCTACCAGTATTTCGCAGGAACTGTGGTAAGTAACTCAAATTCGTAAAGAAGTTATCTGTACCTTAGAAAACGCTAAGCGCTTTTAGACGCTCAGCGTATATGACGTTAATTTTCCCTTAGCGCGCACTTAACTACCGATTTGGGTATTCTCATCTGATGCGCTTAGCGTCTTTCCTGATTGCGCTAAGCGATTCGAAAACGGCTACCTTAAGAATCGTTTTGCTTATCGAACTGTCAGTAAATATAGAAAAAATTGTGATTTTGTGCGTTCTCTTGCTCTTTAGAGAAAACTACTTTTTCTTTTATAAATTCCTGATTAAGTAATTGATAATTTTTACGACTTGGCAGCTATAAATATTGTTCAGAACATCGAAAATGCTGAGAAGCGTCTTCAACGTTTCCCTCGTGTAATAAGAATAATCCATAGAAAAATAGGTTGATATAACTCAATAATAGGTTATGAAATTCACGTCACATTGACATTTTTCATTGTTTTATCCACATTTAACCTTTAGATACCTGAGAAATTGCGATGCTTCCAATATATACATACATACTGCCATTACTCGCTGACGAGTATTTGACACGCATCAGAAGAACACAAGGCGTTTTCGTTCATGAGCTTTTCTCTGACTGAAAAGCCCGATACGTGATGTTATCTGTCTACCGCACTCCGGACATTCAAAAATCTCATTGCTTTGTTGCCTTTTTACTTTTTGGTTGTCGCTGTTAACTGAGTTTACAATTCTTCACCATTGCGTTGGGGTTGTGAACTGCTTCTTCCCACTCATTCTGCATGTTAATTCCCTATAAATTTTCGTGGAAAACATCCTTGTAACTTTTGAGTTGTGCACCCGACCTCCTCTTACCGTCTACAAGCTCACCGTAAAGCAGAGATTTTGGTATGCGGTTTTCTTGCATTCTGCATACGTGACCAACCCATCTTAAGCGGAATTTTGTTACCATGATTTCAATACTCTCGCAGTTAACTTTTTCAAGGACCGATACGTTTGATACATGATGGAACCAAGAGTTGTCTAAGGTGTCTCTGTTGCAACTTGTTTAATGCGTTCATGTGTTGGCGGTACGGCACCCAGGTTTCGCTTCCATATAACATGGTGGGCATTATGGATTGCCCGATACACTGCAAGTTTCGCTTTTGTGCTCAAGTCATGATTGTAGAAACCCCTGTCTGTTAATTTCCAGAAAGCTCTTGAGTCGCTCTGATGCTGCCAGTATGTGCTCAACGCATATCTAGAAAACGATTTGCATGGCAATGAGAATACCAAAATCGATTGCTTGGCGTTTCGCTAATCGAATACTTTCGCTTACCGCTTTGTAAGCGTAACGTCTTTATGTCGAATTTTCAGAATTCTGGCCCTGCCCTGGCGAATTTCGATGCAATTCCACAAATTTAGTTGAAATTAATATAGAACTTTTCAATAATACTTAATTTACTTAGAATGATTACTTTCCAGACCAAACAGCTTATAAGTTGGGAACTTGACAAACACTTCAACGTAGAACAAGTCCATACTGCTCTTTTGGCGGACTCCTATCTCACTAGTCAAGCATTAACATCGGCTGCATCAACACCAACTCAAGTGAGTATATACGTTTTAAATTAATAATGCCGTATATGATGAAAAAAACGCCGTCCAGTTGGCTTGGAAATGAACATCGATGACCTCTATACTAATATGTAAAATCCTTAAGTGACTGACTCACTGATTAATCACGATCCTGCTCAAACCGCTCTACGTAAGAAGCTCAATTTTGACATACAGGCTGATTCTAGGGTGTAGAGGTTTGATAAGAAGGGATTTTTCGAAATTCCAGTTCCAAGGGGGTGAAACCACCCCTCAAATATTACAATATGTTTTATTTAAAAAACGGTCAAGTTTCCGAAAAAACGCTTAAACCTGTATATTTTATTTTGTTTTTTTACATATTTTAAGATTTTTTAAAAATGTATACAGGGTGTTTCGAAAAATCTGGTCATTGATTAATCACGATCCTGCTTAAAGCGCTTGACGTAAAAAGCTGATTTTTGGAAAACGGATTGACTTTAGAGTGTAGAGGTTCGATAAGAAGGGATTTTTTGAAACTCGAATTCTAAGGGGGTGAAACAACCCCTCAAATATTAGAATATTTTTTATTTAAAAACTGGTGAGTTTTTCGGAAAAACTCTTAAACACGTATATTTCACTTTGTTGTTTTACATATTTTAAGATTTTCAAAATTTATACAAGGTGTTTCATAAAATACGACCATTGTGTAATCACGATTCTGCTTAAACTGCTTGACATTTAAAGCTGATTTTTGGCAAACGGATTGACTGTGGGGTGTAGAGGTTCGATAAGGAGGGGTTTCTCGATTGTTTTTTCTCATGCTGATATAAATGTGAGAAAATGATCTCCAGTTTGTGTATGTTAATGGAAATTCTTGCGTTGCTTTATCATCACCATTACAAATGATTAATTCGACGCAAACGAAGTCGCGGGTACACGCTAGTTCCTTATATAATTTTATTATGACAAACACAGCGTAGAATTAAATTTCTATATCAGCAGTTAAGTGGCAAGAATCCTTATATAATTTTATTATATACCTATACTGCAAGAAATTTGTTTTCTATTTTATAATTTGGCTCGCCTGAAAAAAAGCCTTTTACCATCCTTTTACTATCGATAGTTGCGCCTCGGTGGTACGAAAGTACTACCATTGCACGCAGGCCGCTATCTCTCGTTCGGGACTTAATATCTAACCGACACTTTCCGACAAGTCGGAATTAACTGTCTCTGCGCTGTGGTTGTTATTTTGTAGATCTGCCCAAGCTCACCTGATGATGGAGTAGGGCTCCGAAACAGGTAGTGAGAGCAGGTTGATCCACATTATGACAAACACAGCGTACAATTAAATTTCTATATCAGCAGTTAAGTGGCAAGAATCCTTATATAATTTTATTATTTTTATATATAAAATGTCTGCGATCTTCATTTCTTAGCCATCGTTGACGCCGTTCCTTTTCGGTCATGTTGTATTATAATAACTAATTTCCTCTTTATTGAAATTTAGTACAACATTTCATTGAAATGTTGTCCTAAAAGGCTGTAATCTTTTTGTCACATAAAAATAATACTAATACTGCATCTTTTAAATAGATTTCCAATAAGTTCAGCACTATCAGTTATAACAAAGGGGCATCAATCTTACGTATGATTGAAACTGCTATCAGTGGGCCAGATAATTTTATCTACGGAATTAGGAAATATCTCACCGATTAGTAAGTATACAGGGTGTTATACATATATAAAAAATATCAGAAAAATTGTGTGCGCTCTATGTGTGCATATTTCAAGTGAATTAAATTGAATCATTTGAAGGACATGTAAAAACTTTTCAACGTAACCAATAATTTGTATTTATAGTGGTTTACAACAATTTTGTTAAATTATACGAATATTCTCGTTGATTAATTATTGGTTTGACATAAATATGACAATGTCCTCCAATGAAAATGCGCGCGAGTTGCTTGACTCTAATAATTCTAATTCTTCTTAATAATTATATTAATTAAATTCCGAAACATATCTATATTAAAAATATATTTTAGCGATTCCCTAGGTGCTACGCCCGCAAATCTGTGGTCAAGTTTAGCCAACTACGTGTCTTCAAATCGGCTACCCAGTGGCGTATCTCTGAGCGATGTTCTAGAAAATTGGGTAGAAAAATCAGGTCACCCGGTGGTGACAGTCACTACGAGCGGTAATGACGTCATTCTGTCTCAGGTATGCTAATTTAGATTTTTCTGATATTGATATTATTCGAAGATGTTGATATTTGAAAAACGAAATGTTTCTGACAAACAATTAATTGTACTCTTGTACAGGGTGGACCATTTTGGTTGTTTCTATAGGGTATCTAGGAAACCGTGAGAAATATTCAAATTTTGATACTGCAGTCTCGGGTTCTTTTTTTGAAAAAATTACAATGGCGCAAACGGATCGTGGCTATCTTGATCGGTTTCGAAGCTACAGGGGGATCCTCAAATTTTGTACTTTTTGAAGATGTTCGATAGTTTGTTTATTTCAGCAACCACGGAAAAATAAATTATACATTCTAAAGGCACTTTTCTGTGTAGAATGCAGTGGCGTAGTCAGACTTTTTTCGAAAAAAATATTTTTTGAGATATTAACTATACTTATGTTTTTTTAAATTATATACTTTTAAATTTTCTTATTCAGCTTGGCATGGGCTTTTCGAAAATATATAACACTCTATATTTATTTTCACTATTTACCTCAACTCTTCAAATTTTTCTTAAAATATCCACTTAGTGGATAGTAGGCCGCGCCGAGGAACGAAGTAAACGGTTGCCATGGTGATCGGAACATACCTTTGATGGAGGCGGGACATTTCATTTCAACAGATTGATATATTTTAAATAATAAAAAAATGAGTAAATTTGCAAAACATAAGCAAATGGCAGCTGATTTATATTTTGAGCGGTATCCAGAGCGCGAGCTTGGTTGCTAAAAAAAACAAAAAAGAACCCGTGACTGCAGTATCAAAATTTGAATATTTCTCACGGTTTCCTAGATACCCTATAGAAACAACCAAAATGGTGCACCCTGTACAGTAATCCAGTAATAATAAAATTTTAATTAATAAAACGTGTGCGTATATTCAGACAAAATCCAGACTAATTATAGGATTTTGGGTCTATTATCAATAACTAAGCTGCGGAGGATTATAAGAATTTGGAATAGTACTAATTAATATTGGTAATTCCTTTATATAACAGATTTATTATTTTTTGACTGGTTTGGGCTAAAACCGATTGACAATAAAATTTATGACGGTAATTTTTATACGACGTAATTTCAGTTGCATTGTATTGTCATTATCAATTATATTAACTAATTGTTTTTGTAGAAAATGTAATAGATATAATAATTCTATTTAACTAACCATACAATAAATATCATTTCAAATAATTCATGATTAAGTTTGACCAGCTTTTACATATTTTCTTTTAATCACAATTTTTTAGGAAACAAAAATATATTAATTATAAATAGGTATTATTTATATCAACAAAACGCGTTTCCTTAACATCACTTAATGGAAATAAAGGCCCATTATTATGGCTTTTCCGTTCAAAATATTCTAATAAGGTTGCGATGAGCTTTTTACAACGGCTGTTAAGCTGCTTCGGCACCTTCTACGCTTTGCACTACAAGAGGTTCTAAAAAGAACAATTTTCGACTGCAAGGTCTGCTAGTAAAAAATGTTAAACCTAAAGAATCACAAAACAATTCCCCTAAACCAAAAACTTGTAATACAAAACAAAATTTTCATGAAATAAAAAAAATAAACACAAGATCAAAATCACTGGACAAAACACATGTTTGGAATCAAAATTAAAATAATTGTGTTATGATTCATAACATTCCTTCAAGAATTTCATAAAGTGAAAAGAATTTATAAGTGTTTATAATCAATCATATTGATAAATCCAAATTATGTTTATTTGTACCTCTAATCCGATATAAAGATTAAATTTCTATAAAAATTAAATCTTTATTTACAGCAAAGATTCTTGCTCACCGGCAACGACACCACTGAATACTACGTTCCCATATCCTACACCGTATCCAGCGACATTTCTAAATTCTCAAACACCACAGTTAAAGCCTGGCTAGTACCTGGATCGACCCTCACCTTGAGTGGGGTCTTGGATGGCAACAGCTGGATCATCCTAAATAACAGACAATCTGGATTTTACAGAGTGAACTATGATAGTACTCTCTGGTCAGCAATTAAGACAGCTCTACATGCCAATCATCTCAACATTGATGTGCTGAACAGAGCTCAGATTGTCAGCGATGCTTATAATTTTGGTAGAGCTGGAGCAAGTACTGTGATGAGCGATTTCAGTTACAAAGATGTTTTGGATGTTTTAAGGTATTTGGAGCACGAGGTTGAGTACTATCCTTGGTATGCGGCTATTATTGGAAACAATCATATCCTGACAAGAATTGGGTACGTAATTTTAATCATATTACTTTAATATAATGTATTCAAAGTATACAGGGCGTCCGGAAATTAATGCAACAAAATTTGGTCATAGATTCTTGAAAAAAGTAGGTGACCCGTATTTTTTATTTTTGGCAAGTGGCCCCCCTTTTCGGATTTACAGCCCCCTGAATGTCGCCCCTTAAAAGAGTTTTTTTAATATCTCAGGGCTCTGTTGGACGAAAATCACTAAATTTGATACACGTTGTTTTACCATAAAATGACATTTTATGATGCTATTAACTTTTTTTATTTTCATCAGTGTCGTCCCTACGGTATTTAAACTAAATATTATTGAAGAAAAAAATAGTACGCCACTGTTTTTTTTTTAAATAAAAATTAGCAAAATAAAAACACTAAATCACCACAATAAGCGGTTAGCGAAACGCGCGTCCAGTGTAAAAGTAAAAGTGTTTTGGTGTATTGTGGTGATTTAGTGTTTTTATTTTGCTGTTTAACACCAAAGGTTCCAACCCTCAACTGTAATAATAAATAAAAATTATTTTTAAAATCTACATTAAATTTGGTACAACTTTATCTCTCGGCTTTTTTTCGTACGACGCACTGTTTTCGCGTAAAAAAATAAAAACCGTTTTCATACTTGACTAAATCGCTAACATTTTACCGTAAATTTCAATGGCAAAATTTTCAAAACGGCAAACAAGTTTAAAATAATTTTTTATTTTACAAAATTTTGTTTTTATTACCTAAGTGCAAATAAAAAAAACGCGAAAACGGTGCGTCGTACGAAAAAAAGTCGAGAAATGAAGTTGTACCAAATTTAATGTAGATTTTAAAAATAATTTTTATTTAAAAAAAACAGTGGCGTACCATTTTTTCCTTCAATAATATTTAGTTTAAATACCGCAGGGACGCCACTGATGAAAATAAAAAAAGTTAATAGCATCAACAAATGTCATTTTATGGTAAAACAACGTGTACCAAATTTAGTGATTTTCGTCCAACAGGGCCCTGAGATATTAAAAAAAACTCTTTTTAGGGGCGAAATTCAGGGGGCAGTAAATCCGAAAAGGGAGGCCACTGGCCAAAAATAAAAGACACGGGTCACCTATTTTTTTTCAAGAATCTATGACCAAATTTTGTTGCATTAATTTCCGGACACTCTGTATACGGTGGTGCGAACTGTATTCTGGAAACTTTGGCAGCATATTCTGCAGATAAAAATAAGTAAAAAAGCTCGTATAAATGTATGTTCTAAAATGCTTAGTTAAGGAGATACAGGGTGTAGAAGTTTTATTTTTATTTTAATTTTTTCCAAATAATTTCTGAAGTAACGTCAATATTTGGATGAAAATTGGTGTCTGGGAATTTTTTGACATGAAAAGTTTTATTTTGATGTCAATATGACTCCTACTAGTAGAGGGCGCCATCTACATATTTTTTAACTGGTTTGAAGAGTAATAACTTTTCGTCCGTACCTGTATAAAACTACTGAGTAAAAAGGTATACATTTACGACGTTTTTTACGTAAAAAAGGTCTTTTGGTAAAAATCGCTACGAGTAATGGTTTTCGAGATATTTGGAATCGAAATTATCAATACCTGTCATCATTGACATAAATTAAACATGTTGATTAAAGAGTTATCAGACTGAAATCATAAATTTGAAATGTGTTTGTGTCAAAAGTTCAACAGAAACTGTTTTATCATAATTTTTTCGCAGAAAAAATTAAGATTAATTTAAAAAAATAAAAAAAATCCCAAATTTATTATTTCAGTCAAATAGTTATTTATTCAACGTGTTTATTTTTTGTCAATATAATGACATGTATTGACTATTTCCATTCTAAATATCTCGAGAACGGTTGCTCGTTACGATTTTTACCAAGAGACATTTTTTACGTAAAAAATCATAGAAATGTATATTTTTTTACCCAGTCGATTTATGCAGGTACGGACGAAAAGTTCTTACTCTTCAAAACAGCTAAAACACATGTAGGTGGCGCCCCCTACAAATAGGAGCCATATTGACATCAAAATCAAATTTATCATGTCAAAAAACTCCCAGACACCAATTTTCATCCAAATATTGACGTGACTTCAGAAATTATTTGGAAAAAATCAAAATCATAATAAAACTCCTACACCCTGTATCACCGAAAGCATTTTAGGAGATACGTTTATACGAATATTTTTACTTATTTTTATCTGCAGAATATGCTGCCGGAGTTTCCGGAATACAGTTCGGAAAAAATCATGGAAATGTATATTTTATTTACCCTTTTTTTTACCCTGTATATTTAACATAAAACAGATACTTATTTTTTTTTAAAACAACAGGTTTTTAATGCTACTTGTTGAATTTCAGATACGATTCTACTGAAGGAAAGCAGTTTTCTCAATGGATGCTAAATCTGCTCGAACACGTCTACTCTACTGTGCCTTTTGACACCATTGACAATGACGACCAAGTCTACACCATGAAGCAAGTGCTCATATTAGGAAGGGTATGCAAATATGGAGAAAGTACATGCATAACAAAGTCAAAAGAATTGTTCGCCGATTACAGAAACAATGGAAACAAGTACGTATAGATCATACCAAATAAACTTTTAGTCACGTGATTAAGCTTGACCGACACAGCGTTGTCCAATTTTACATATTCTCTTTTAATCAAAATATTTTAGAAAACAAAAATAAATTAATTATAAATATATTACAGTTATTACTTACATCAACAAAATTCACCTCCTTAACAGCACTTAAGTTACATATTACTAACGCTTTCCCGTTCAAAATATTCTAATAAGGTTGCGATGAGTTTTTTGCAACGGCTATGAAGCTATCTTGTACACTTCGCACTAAAAGAGGTTCTAAAAAGAACAGTTTTCGACTGCAAGGTCTGCTAGTAAAAATGTTTAAGCTTAAAGTATCACAACACAATTCATTTAAACCAAAAACTCGTAATACAAAACTAAAGTGTCAAAACGAATGACAATGTCTAGAAATAAATAAATAAATGTGGCAACTTGATATTTTTTACAGCACAGATACCACCTGAATCCCCAGCGGGAAATTTAAATTCTAGTTAGTCAGCCCGGCACGGCGCGGCGCCGAGTATATCCATAGTTGGTAACAATGAATTTAAAAATCCCGCCCTCGATTACGTAACTAAAAGTTTAATTGGTATCGAATATATGTATTTTATATATAATAAACAACCAATGACTTTTTCCTTAACTGACAACACCAACTTGACATAAAGCCAAATAGCTCTGACGTAACTAATCAGCAAAAAAGTTCATCTCGTTTAGAAATATGACTTGCTTCAAAATAAAATAAACTGTATTAAACCTAATGATTATTAATTTTAAAGTTGTATAGAATTATAATTTTGATTTTGTTTTGTAGGGTCCCTAAAAACTTGAGGGCAATTGTTTACTGCAATGCTCTAAGAAACAGCGATGACGTAGAAGGTGACTATAACTTCTTGTGGAGCAAGTACGAAGAGACCAAGCTTATGTCCGAAATTTTAACCATCTTCAGTGGCTTGGGATGTTCGGCAGACAAAACCATACTGAAAGGGTAAAATAAAATTGTTTTTCCCTTATTGTTTTAACTATGTTGTCATTATTCTGGTAGATTCCTTGCTCAATCCATAAATGCCTCGTCTGGAATAAGAATACAAGACTTCTCATCAGTATGGAGCTATGTTTATGCAAACAGCGATCTGGGTATGGAAGCTGCGCTGGAATTCATTAAAGAAAATTATGATGCCATGAATTCATAGTAAGTGGAATAATATGTTTTTTTTTCCATAGCTACTGTTAAAATTGCCTTATATCTATCAAAAATAGTACTTTAACGGCAAAGGTAGATTAAATGATACTTTAACAGCGGGGATATAGGTTGAAAACTTTATTTCTTCTCGCACGTTTTTTAATTGCTTCAATTCTTGAAAATTTTTGTATTCCTATTTATAAGTTATTCGGGATTTAAATGGAAGTAGTTTGGATATGGCGTTTGTCGCTTCATCTTGAATATCTGTTGGTAATTTACTTATTTCGTTTTGAGCCATTTCTGATTCAAATATTGACTCAAAACTGACTGAAACAAAAGACACAAAACTGAACTAAAGAGACAGCTTTATTTATTTGTCAAATCACATAGAAACCAACGCCAACCCAGCACAATATTTTTTCTACTCATAATAAATTCCTTGAAATAATAATTTCTGAATATTTTTTAAAATGTAACTCGCTATGGAAAAGAATATTGTTTTATACATGACGATAAAATTGCATTATCGTCTTCCGAAATTAATTCACTCGCTATTTTATCGTCTTGCATAAAAAATAACTATTTTTTTACTTTTAACAAAAATTTAAATTGTGTTATAGTCTGTTCAATGGGATGTGTCTATCCGGTTTTTCATTGTAATTCACCGGCAAATGGTAATTTCTGTCATTCTTTGAATATCGTCTGTCTGAAATCTTCCCCGAGCCGTTGAAGAGACTATAGCAATGATTTAGTGCTTTGGTCTAACACATATCTAAAGCAGAATCATATACATACGAGTCTCACGCTGTTGTTAATAAGCCTGCCTGCTGTTGTGTACAGAAATACTAAAAGTTATTGTTAATTATAAATAATTATTATTGAACTCTTTTTTATTTTATTTCAGTTACAGTGGTAGTGCTTCAAGTTTGGTTGGTACGATATCTGGCTATTTGTACTCTACCGATCAATTATCGTGGGTAAGTTATTTATTACTCAGTACTATCTATATCTACCGTACTTAAAAAAAACGGCGTCAAAGACGGCTGAGGAATGACAATTGATAATTTTGGCGAGGTCAATCTCTATGCATCTTTGACGCCGTTTTTTTTCAATCGTATGTTATTAGTTAATAGAATGTATATATAGAAACACTTTTTCTTTCGTGCTTTAATAACTATTTTTCTCCTGGAATTTATAGTTGGAAGATCTGTATAGCGTTGAAAACTTGTCAAATTCCACTGTCACATCGGCAATTGACACAGCCAAGGGTAACATTGAATGGGCGTCAAGTAGAAGACTGGAAATTAGCGAATTTTTGGTAGCCCAAACGACTGGCAGTGGTTTCTCCTATAAACCATCAATTCTTGTAGCATGCGTTTTGTTGTTGTTGCAAAGACTTTTGTAAATATATAAGTAATTATTTAAGAAATATAAGTAATTTTAGTATATTTTTGTGGTTTTTTATTTCCATCGTTACAGCAAACTAAACACTTCTTCTAGAAAGTTCATGCTACTACCCTTCTACTACGAGAAAGGTCATAGTAAAACATTTACAGTCAAAAATGTAGTGGGTATACTAACAGGGTATTGCAAGATTAAAAGGCATTTAAAAGCTGACGGGATTGACAGATGAAGCCATGTGCAGATTTGATAGATAATAATAAAATTTATCAACATTTTTTTAGTTTTCTGTATTTCTCTTTCAGCGGTCTTTTTCAAGAAACATATTCTATATTCTTCTGTGAACCAACACATATATTCAAATTCTCTAATAATTCTACGTTAAAACCAACTTCAAAACGCTTAGGTATTAGGTATACACGAAGCCGTCACTCTTAGAACAAACGTCAACCTATCTAGACTTTCTAATCGCGTTCCCCCCTTATTCGACGACATTATTTCCCCCCGCCAATTCTGTTTATTCTCTGATTGGTTGGGTAATCCTGCCCGCCCCTGCCACTGAGTTCCTGCTTCTTCGGTTCATGCAAATGGAAACGAGGCCCTATTCTTTCGAATGTTCTGCAGGAGGGAGAGACATTCTCGCTGCTAATAGTCGGATGCTGCGAGTTGCCACGTTGCCGGCTTGAACGATGGTTTTTCTTTGATACTTCAGAATAGATTAAATGATAGAAATAATGACTAGAACATCAAATGTGCCCTTGAAGCATCTGGTCTGATTCCAAAGAATACCCCAACAATGGTTTGAGGACAGTTTGAGAAGTCAGTTAATTTTTGGAGTAAAATATAAAATTTTCCCCAAAAAGCGTTTATTTTTGAATATAGTCTCCATTTAGCTCGATACATTCCATTAGTCCAGCAATCCTTCTAAATAATACCATACGATCGAAAAAAAATAGCGTCAAAAATGACTGGCCGAATGACAATGGATGAAAATTTTACTGAGAAAATTTAAACCGTTGGAGAATTCCCATTTCTGGTTACAAATGGAGTTTTCCAGGTCCTTGAATTTCAGTTGGGAAACAGAACGTTTCTGGTCTAGTTAATGGAGTATTCGCTTCTTTTTCTAAGCTAGATGGTTTGCTTTCCATTACCTACTATCCCTTGATGGGCCGGCACCCAGAGAAGGAGGGCTTTATTTTCTTTGCCTAATTTGTTCAGACTCGCACAACGAAGTCAGTAATCCACTTCTTAACTATTAAAATTGATGGTCCAGAGTTCCTAGAGTGTTTATTAAACTTCACTAGGTTGTCTGATGCGATTAATGACTGTCAGACATACTAAAAGGCAGCTTGCTCAAAATTTGATAGTTGATATTAGTCTATTATTAGATGACAGTTTGACAGGAGCAATGTTGCTGATCTCTAAAACTGCATTCTTATAATTTAATACTTTTTTTAATGATAAATAAATAGCAATAAATAATGTTAATATAGAAAACAGAAAACTCCCCAATTAGAGTATTTTCTCGTACCTATGACAACATTGCCGCTTTCTTTAGCCTGCGAACAGACCTGTCGCCAGCATCTGTTTAATACCTCGGTAACAGGAGGCTATGGAAGCTTTTTTGTGGCGGTTCGTGCGGCCACGTAGCGGCTGCCACGGCCTACTGCAAACATATAAATCATTCTTAAAAGGTGTTATGGGGCCCTTTCAAGGGGCACATCGCAGCCCTGCCACGTTCATTGTGCGTTAAAGGGCTCCGGAACGATGCTGCTAGTGTCGTGGCGGTTTAATCAACAAGAGGGGATTAGGTGGAAGAATCAGAGAATATTTACCCTTGGAGATGAGCAGGAAGATGAGAATTTAATAAAGTTGATAGTAGATTTCTGGTATATAGAAAAAAACAACAGATTTCCTAAAACTTTGAAGGTTTCTCACAGATAATAATAATATATAGTTCCCGTATATACAGGTTGTTAATTTGTTTATTACACTGATAAAAAAGATAGAGTTGAAATAAAGTCGTCATGGTTTTTGAAAAAAAAAATTTAGTGGCAAGAGAATCTATTTTAGCGTAAAAGAAAATATTTTGCCTGAAGAAAAACTCTCTTAACTCAAGAAAACTGGTTTTCTTGAAAAATTCGAAAATTTCTCTTGAATCTATTTTCATTCAACCAAGTGCAAGTTACTTTGTTTTAAGATAATAAGAAAAATACGCTAGGAAGTACTTCATTCAAGAAACATGGCCATTTTTCCAATAGCTAAATACTCTTTTGATGAAAAATAATAACAACACGCAGAGACGATGACGAAGGACGGTATACACAATCAGTCGGCAGTCCGATCAGTCGTACATCATAGTACGTACGGGTTTTGTTGCTTGGAATTTTTCACTTGGTAAACGCATATCGTATAACAAATTAGTGATCGTTATTAACATGCATTTGTCATTTTTTATGAACAAATTTTAGGATATATGGATTCTTTAAAGGAGTTTCTGAAAAAATGGCAATTAGAGCATTTATTTGCTATATTTGAAGGTAAGAGACATTTACCTAATGCACCTGTTTAGATAATGCATGTGTGACTATAGATAGAATAAGAATATAGGTATCGATTTTTTTATGCAAATAATTACAAAAATTTTAGAATTTCAAGTCGTCGTATTAAAAAATTCAAAATGTGACCAAATCTTATAATTTTAATAATTTATTTGCTTTACTTTGAAATCGTGATGTAACATATCTTTGTAATTTGTAGAATGATGAACCACCCCAAAAAATACCAAGGAGTGAAGAAGCAGAAATAACTACTATCGAGGAAAATAATATCACTTTACTTACTACAGACCAGGAAAACCTAAATTTATCAGAAAATAATATACCTCGTAATATGCCTGTATATGATGTATAGACTTCTCTTAGATCAAAATAAATTTTAGTTGAGTCAATAGTATTCGCTATTGGTTTAAGAAAAGTGTCTCTTTAATCAAGAAATGTCCCTTTTTAATCAAGAATTTTTGCATGAATCAAAAAGACTATTGCTCTTGTAGCAAGAACTTCTTTGAATATTCATTTTGGATCAAGAGTGAAATACTTTGGACAGATAGATTCTTCTATTCTCTAAAGTAATTTTTTAAAGCTTATGAAAAGATAGTTAATGCTTTGGGCAAAGAAACGTCGCTCTTGGCCCTATTGAAAAGCGCCAATCTTTTGGGTCAAAGTCATATTCATTTTGACTGAGAGATCCTTTTTTTCAGTGTACTCGCGGCAAGGGCTTTATGGTTGAAATATGGCAACCTCGGCCCGCTTGTCGATAGACGACGCGGAGGAAACCCTATAAGTGCATGCGTTCTCAATAGGCAGTGTTGCCATTTTGTTCCCCTATAAGTAACTGTCCAGTTAACAACCTGTATATAGCGTTTAATGCTTTGGGAGTAGCAAGGTACAGCCTGCCATATTAGAGCCGTTCGGTATACAAAGGAAGATAATGTGGCTAGCACTACGCTTCAACCGCCCATAATTACCTCAGGATTGTGAATCCCAAGTACTCATTTAAGGCTGAGCCGACCTAGGTACCCAAACTATATTTATTTTATTAAAAATAGTCGGCTGATAAAATGCCAGCTGTAGGAATCGAACTCAGAACCTTTGAATTGGTAGACGAGAGTTACCTCTACGCCACCGGGCACAGATAAGGACTTGAATTTCTTCCTTATAGATACCAGATGGTGAAGTGCTATGTCTGGCGCATTCTGTTAAATGGATTGGATGGAAGCATTGGACACTGAAAGTACTAGTGATAAATAGAATTTAAAATTTGGTAAAATGTAAACCTTACTTTGTATGTTGGGAGTGTCCTGGATCGACCATATGAGAAATGAAGACATTCTCAGAATAGCTGATCTAGAAGAACGTAAACTTTTCGAAATAATCAAGAAATAACTTATTTGGGGCATATATTACGTAGAGAATGATATCGCTTTCAGCGTCTAATTTTCCAGGATAGTAACTGTCTACGACACTCGAAGAACTATTTTCTTCAGTTAAGTAAGCACAATCATTAAGATTGTCACGTGGTTTTTAACAGGACACTCTCTCCTCAATGAACATCTCAATAGATTGAAACAACGACGAATGCAGATTCTGTAGGAAAGACGGAAAAACACCAGAACACTTCATCCCTGAGTGCGCCAAGATGACAACCATTCATTGACTGATATCGGAAATGGTAAACTACCCCCTGAAAAACCGTCTCAAATACTGCCTTTTGTCAAAGCACTTATAATGACGCCACAAATAAAGTACAAAAATATAAAGGTTTATCTGTGTAACTCCGGACACCCTGTATACATTTCGACGATTATTCTGAATCAGGGAGATGCGGAACAGTCTCACCTGAGTCGGCCATTACGCGAGCGATGGCAGGGCCGTTAATCAAATCGCCTGTTTCCATCAATTACCCAAACAATGGCGAACAGATGCAGATCCTCGTCGTAAAATGATATCAAACCACTTTAAATTCATTTATCCCCTTAGGTGAAAAAAGGGGACGTGGGGTGTAAGGGTGGGTTTCTTATTAGGCGACAGCACCAGGAATGTAAAGACAGGGTTGGGTTTATCTATATATTACTCGCTGACGAGTATTTGCCACGCATCAGAAGATGGTTACGCAAGGCGTTTCCTTTCATGAGCTATTCTGTGACTGAAAAGCCCGATAATGTTATCTCTCTTCCTCACTCCGGACATTTAAAAATTTTATTACTTTGTTGCCTCTTTACTCTTTGGTTGTCGCTGTTAACTGAGTTTACAATTCTTCTTCCCACTGATTCTTTAAGTTATTGTGGAAAATATCGTTGTACCTTTTGAGTTGTCTACCCGGTTTCCTCTTACCGTCTACAAGCTCACAGTAAAGAAGATATTTTGGTAGGCGGTTTTCTTGCATCCTGCATACGTGACCAGCTCATCTTTAGCGGGATTTATTAATCATGACCTCAACGCTCTCGCAGCTAGCCTTATTCGAGGACCAATAGGTACGTTTGGTTCTTAAGAGTAGTCTAAGATGTCTCTGTTGCAACTTGTTTAATCCGTTCATGTGCCGGCGGTACGCCACCCATGTTTCTCTTCCATATAACATGGTGGAGGATATTATTGCTCGGTACACTGCAAGTTTTGTTTTTGTGCTCAAGTTATGATTATAGAAAACCCTGTCTTTTAATTTCTAGAATGCTCTTGAGGCGCTGCTAATCCCGTGCTGAATTTAAGAGTCGATATTGGCCTTTTCCGAAATCAAACTGCCGAAACAAAACTAGTTGTAGAATAAATAACAAATAACATAAAATAAGCTCAGAAAAGCACAACAAATCTGCTAAATCAAATTCAAAGGCCAGACATTCGACATAGATAAAGAAAGCAAGATTGGATTGGAAAATGCTCATTAGGACAATGTAAATACTATATTTATCTACAACCGTTTAGTTACCTATAACGTTTTTACATCACTATTTTTTTAGTATTTCAGTTACGTTATGAGATTCATAACACAACTAGTGGTGTTATGAATCTATAACACAACTAGTTTTTATAATAATGAAAAATAACTACGAACATCTAAATATATTAATTTTTGATACAAATTCCTACTACTAATTATTATAAATATTAATAACACATTTTTTACACTTCTTTAAAACAATTCCTGCTGCTGATGATGATGACGATGATAATAGTGAAGGTCTAACTGAAATAGATTGGACTTTTCCGGTAGTAATGATTCCATGGCACGTACTGCGGCAACTTCTACATCGGGCGCTATTCTGTACAATCGTCGGTATCGGCAAGTTACCGACAGCTATCGGTACGTACGGCCAATGAGCGTCGTGTTGATTGTTGTTGTCATAGTTTTAGGTGGCATTAATAGGACATATAGCAAATTTGTACCGACGACTCTCGGTATCTCTACCGTGAGGTTAACAAGGGCACGGTAGAGATACCGATCCTCGTCGGTACAAATTTGCGATTCTGATCGGTAACTATGACAACAACAATTAACACATTTTTACTATATACAAATACGTATCGAGAGCTGTCGTAACTGACCGATACCAACAATTGTCGATGCGGTGTACAGAATAGCGCCCCTTCTGAAGGGAGACTTTCGGAATCGCTCATCGTAATTTTTAAAATGATTTTTCTGGGCAAAAAGTGCTAGCGTTTACTTGACAGGGCAAACTGACTTTTCAGAAAAAAAAACTCTCTACTTGATAAACAACGTTTGTAACTATAGTCTGAAGCAGGTAACAATTCCCCACAATTATAATTAAAAAAATGTGACAAATGTCATAGTTAAAGGTGTTAAAGGTGGGCGACTAATAAACGAAAATTAGAGCAGCATTTTCTTATTTTTCGGTTGCAGATAAAACGTTGTACAGCTGGTTCAAAAAAAAATGAATACAACTCTTTACACATTTTTTTCGAATATTTGAGCAGTGTATATCCTTGTATATCGGTATACAGTATACCGTATCAAGTACTTTGACATGTTAAGGTTATTGTGACATTGAATAAGGAGACCTAAAGCTGGTTTAGACGCTCATGCGCTCTACGCAAATTGACTTGTGCAAGCTGGAACAAGCAATTAGCTTAAATTTAACGTTAGCTTTTCCGACGTATGTGGAGCCATTTTTACTTAAAAGAAAAAAACCTTGCTTTTGACAAAGTGGCAAATAAATTTTTCAGAACGTCTACATGGCATGAGAAATAGGGGACTGGTATCATAGAATAGCTCGAAATAATAAAAATATGTTTTAAATCGTACTCAATTTAGAAACGATTAGAACGACTCTGTCTACGACCTCGTCGTTCTAATCGTTCACACTCGTTGTTGTAATCATGTTCATAAACACACTTGAACTGTAAATAACTATTAGCGCTTGTATATAGTATATAGCAACTTGTATAAAAAAGGTTTTTTTTGAAAGATCGTATGATGCTTGCTTGTTTTTGAAGATTCTGACTTTGATAAGAGAAAATTATTTCTGTTCTTGTTTACGGTTGTTCTTAGAAATCGCTATAACAGCGCCAGATCTCGTACTACGTATTCGACCCAAAAAAATTAAACGTTTCAGCGGGAAGCCCTGGGGAGCGTTCCAATCTAAATTTATTTCCTTTATCTATGAAATCTGATAAATTTCAAATCAAATTCAAAGATTCACAGGTGTTAAGTGAAACGACAAGACTGTCAAAAATGGGGGAACATGTTGTCGACTCCGTTTCAAATGCATGAATACGTGAAGATATCGCTTTATACTACTTCTTTAATCTGTTTGTTCAGCGGTTACAACCCTGCATCAAACACAACCGACCACATTTTCATCCCCCCGCAGCACCAGCAGCCCCCCTAAACCGATCCCCCATTTCGCTCGTGTTGTTAACCATTACCGGGCATTAAATAACTATAACACAAAAGGGCGTTAATGGGCTGTTCAACATCTCTCGCGAGATTTTGAGTAGTGTGGGAACGGTATAATAGGTACCGGTGGTGGAAGGTTGGGGGCGCTAGAGCTCCGCTCGCAAGACGGGAACGTTTCTGATGTACGGGGTTGGTAAAAAAAGCATGAAGGAATTGAGGAAAAGTTCTGATTTTATGGAATTTTGTATAGTATTGTGTTTAGAATTATCAAGAGATAACTTTTAATTGGCATTAAACGGCTTACATAATTTTCATATCAAAAGAAAAAACTCAGCGGTGCACATGTATTTTCTTTTGGAAGTTGTTCCAGTGATGACACATATGCACGTCCCTGATGAATTTATCGACACTTTTTTAGTACTAAAATATGTAGCACTTATAGTAACTTTTACCCTCAAAATTTCATTCAAATCACTAAAAGCACTTTGAGAAAATTATAATAAATCGAAAGATTATTAATGAATCGGACCTAATGTTGATATGAAAAATAAATCATCTTTTTACGTAAGGAAACTCTCCACGAGATATAGAACATGTACAACACCCTGTATAATATGATAATATGGATGGAACATCATATCATATTCAGTGCGGGATTATAAGGATGACATCATGATATTCAATATACCGGTTTGAAAAATTAAGCAAGACTAAAAATTCACGAAGTCTGAGTGTTTTGGTAAAGATATAGACTGGTACATGAAAGAAATAAAAAACCTGCTACATCATATCTTATTTTACAACAAAATATTTGAACATATATGAGAATAAAAAAACGTTTAAACCTGAAACTCCAAAAAAAACTTTTTACACCCCCGTATCCAGAAGGGTAGTGCAAAAACGAGCACCCCCAAAAACAGTCCTCCCCGATAAAAGCATTTAAAATCACGCGAAATCCCAATCACGTCTCCTTACAGCATCCTCTTCCCTTTTCGCCTGGGAGTCCCTCGGGCAGAAGGCGGTCCTACCTAACCCGTGAGGCGTGGCCTAGTCTTAACTGGCGGCTAATGGCCCGACATAATCGAGAGAATTTAACAGCGAAATCTTCGGCCCCCAGCTTCCGACGCTTCGCGATGTGACCGCGACAGCGAACGTCTTTAAATCACCGTAAATTTAAAGCTACAACACCATGGAACCGGATTCTATCAAAGACCATCAGACCTTCGAAGATTCGGATTCCTTCGAAGACTTATCTTCGGACGAGGAAGAACCCAACGTGGATGTTTTAGGCTTGGAAGGGCCAAATCTTCGGACGATTCTACAAAGGAAGTCGACGGAAAGTTGTGGTGGCTCGAATAATAAGTTTTCTATCGATAGTATACTGGGACTAAATCGGGATGGTCGGAAGGACGGTCTGGAGAGCGGTGGTGGTTGTGAGGTGATTAGTGATGGTGAGGACGCTAGACGGGAGGAAGTGACTTTTATTAAGCCCACTCCGATCAGTGCTGTTCCTAGAGCAGGTATTCAACGGTTAATACTATTGGTGGTGACGGTATATACAAGGTGCGTCTCGAAAGTGGCTCACCCTTATAACTTTATTATTTTTTTCGATAGAAAAACGAGATTTGTTATATTAGTATAAATTAGGATTGATTGACGTATTCAATTGTTTTTAGTCACTTCCTGTTTCACCGGAAAAGACTACAACTTTTGATGTTTAAATGGCACCCTTTACTTTATTCGATAGAAAATAACATATCATATGTCAATTTTAAACATTTTCGCTTTAAAAAAATCGAATTTTAAATTTCAATCTAGAGTGCCGTGGCTGTGTTAAAAACACTAATTTTTAATCATGGTGCCTTAGAAAAATAGATTTCATCGTCTTATGTTTTTCGTGTCTTGTTCTGGCCGGTTAAAAAATGCCCAAATCGTATTTTTAATCATATTTCAATTTTTTCAAATGGAACGAGGATGGCTCATTAGCATATTTAAAAAAAGCATTTTTTAAGAATAATTTGATACCACACAATTCAATTCAAATAAACCATGTGCGAAAATGTTAAAAATTGACATATTGTGTATATGTCATTCTATTCAGAGTGTCATTTTCTATCGATTAAAGTAAAAAAATTCCCCGAGTGTCATTAAAAAAAAGTTGTAGCTAGTTCCGGTGAAACAGGAAGTGACCAAAAACAATTGAAAATGTCAGTCAATCCTAATTTATGTCATATACCAACACACCAAACCTCGTTTTTTTTATCTGAAAAAATAAAAAAGTTATAGGGGGAGCCACTCTTGAGACGTACCCGGTATACAGTGCGACCTAGTGTTCAAATAAAGCTCAATTTTAAAGAAAGTATTAAAAAATACTTGTGTATTTTAAAATGCTGTATATTATTTTGCTCAGTTGATTTGCTATAACATTGTTAGTTCCAAAAATGTTATTGAGGTATGCAGCGTAATTTTGAAAATACGTCCATTTTTTGCAGCCTTTATTGACATAGTGTGGTCCTCTTGTTATCTATGTTATTTAGTTTTGACTCACCCTGTATATCCATTTGTAATTTTATACTTTAAAGTTTTAAAAACATACTGCATTTCATTTAGAAATCTACAATTTTAGTATAACATATTTTTGAGTCACCCTGTATATTTAAAGAGATTGGGGTAAAAATAATATAACATGCTACTTGTTAACGGATATTTTTCAGAACACTATGCCACACTGTATAAAATTATATTTACCTTGTTGATAAATAAGACATTCAAAAATTAATCTTAACTTAAGAAACTCTATAGATATAGTTTATTCAACATAAGAATATACCTACCTTTTACAGTGATAGTTGTAGTTTGTTGTTTCAGTTGAAAAGTTGCTTGTATTTTCTGTGAAATTTTAGATGCCGATCAGATATACAGGGTGAGTCTTAAATAAGTGCAAATATTTTAGGGGTAGTATAATTCGACCTCTGAAACACGCGTCCGATGTTTTTTGCGCGAAATTTATTTTTGAAAATTTGGAATTCCTTGAAATGTTTTTTTTAATTTTTTTTAGTTTTTATTTAAAAATATAATATCTTGACAATATGGCAACATAGGTTGTAGATTAAATTTACAAGATAGAAAATACAGAAAAGATCCAGCAGTTCTCAAAATTTAAGGATTTTTTTTTAATTTTCAAAATAAAATAACCCGGTTATTTTGGACTTTTTGAAAAGCGGTAAAGAAATTATATGTTTCTTTTATCGAGATCTACCAGCCTTGAAAATATTTGCACTTATTCAAGACTCACCCTGTATAGACTATTTTTTTATAACATTTTAAACTCTTAATTTAATATAAATTCTAAAACACCTCTAAACACAGTGTACATAAAGTAGTAACAAATATTACAAATATTTTCACAGATTATTAAATTATTATACTAGTGACAGAGTTATAAAATTCTTTGTTTTTTAACATATTTTTTTATTATTTAACTGTTTATGAAGACTTGTGTCAAAAATTCAGGTGTCAAAAGAAACATCACTTATCTATAATTATCAGCTTCTGTTTTTCCTTCAAAATATAGAATAGCAAATATATCACATGTTTTTGTTATAATTTTGGTACATTCTCCATAAATAATAAAATAAATTTACACTGCATTTGTTTTGGTAATTCAATTACAATGGTATTGTTGTTTACAATTGTCGATAAGTGACATTTCTTTAGCACTTTGATTTTTCGACACCGTGTCGGCCATTTTATGGCAGTTTGAGAATAATACCAGTGTTAATAGAGTTTTTAACAACAATCTCGACAAAAATGAAACTTCTACACCCTGTATCTCCGAAACTAAGCATTTTAGGACATACATTTATACGAACTTTTTTACTATTTTTTATCTGCAGAATATGCTGCCGAAGTTTCCGGAATACAGTTCGGACCACCCTGTATATTTATTTATCTCAAAGTTGTGTAAAATCATAGATAAAAGAAAATAATCTTCTATTAAGATAGATATGAAACTTAATAGTAAAATTTTGGGTCAAAGCGCCCCTCCGTGTTCTTAGTAGAGACTAGGTTTAACACAGCGCCTTCGCCTTTTCTGCTGTAAATATTTTTTATATTTATATTTGATTTCAAAGGATTTAGTTTTAAAGTTACACTGATATATTAGTATATCAGAGTAACTTTAATAAAGCATAAGAATATATATATATATATATATATATATATATATATATATATATATATATATATATTTTACAGTTTATTAAATATAAATTTTTGACTACAAAATAGAAAGTAAATCACAATATTTGATAAAACTTATAAGTATACCATTTTTACAGTTAATAAATAATAAAACTATTTCTGACTATGATATTTAAAATTTAGATAGATAGAATATTAAAAAACATACCGGTATTTGCAGACGCAGGCCCAAATTCAATTAAAACCAAAATTTTTCCTGCGAAAATCGGGTTTTTTTCACAGAAAAGGTATTTTTTGATTTATCAACAATCATTGTCAAGTTGACAATATACAGGGTGTTTTCTAATTAGTCTAAAAAATTGTGGTGTGATTCCTCATGTGTTCTTAAAACAATTTTTATATAACCATTGGGTCCAAAGTACTTAATTTCTGATCTACTGGGTGTTAAAAATTAAAAAAAAATCGATATTTTGCTTAAAATAGATGGTACGCTACTGCTTTTTTAAAGAAAATATATTTTTTCCTTGACAGGCCATTCTTTTTCAACAAAATTGATCTTTTGAGTTTTTCTTGTTCAACAACAATGCAAGCAATCAAACAGTTGCCGAGAAAAAAATAAATATACTTATTAAGAGCCCTCCTTAAGTCGTTTTCTAACGATTTTTTATTTTTTAGATTAATTAGAAAACACCCTGTATATGCATATCATGCATATCATATATATGCATATACATCGTATATGCATATCATGCATATCAACCAGATAAACTAGTAACCTCTAAAAATGATTTTTCCTACCACTAGCGACATACCGTGTTTTTAGTGAGTACTAAATTATTTTATCAAAATTTCACCATATAAGTTTCCAGGCAATGTGTAAAATCTTAAAATTAAAGAAAATGTCAATCCAAAAAGACATCTTATGATACTGATAATCTAAAATACTTATTTTAGGTGCACTCTACCAATCACTCATTGATCTACAACCGTTCACAAGACAGGAAGACCAATCAGTTGATATCCTCGAGTATATTTCCAGCAGAAAACTGGACTCCAGGCAGCAAGCTGGCGTTGAAGGCCGTTTTGTACCATACGATTTGCAACAAAGTGCCACAGCTACCTCAATCCTTTACTCCAACTGGGCGAGCACAACTTCAGATGGAAAGAGCACAAATCCATTGTTTTCCATGCAAGGTAAATTATTACAATTAAAAAGTATAAAGTATTTTCAGATATCGTCTCCTTTTTGCTGCTAAGGAATCCGAACTGCGATCCTCGTTCATATCATTGTCAATGACCTAGCATCTTGGCGAGTGTTTAAAGTTTAAATAGACTCTTACGAAAGTAAATATAGTCTGTCCAACGAGAAGATCCTTGACAGTGAGAGATGTGTCTGTCATTTTAATTTCGAAGTAGTTTATTTTATTTTACTAAGAAATAAGTTGGTACAACTGGAACGCATTGCAGGATATATTTAAAATTTGATTGACAAGATGACAAGTGATTACTTCAAAATATTGTGAAAAAAACTGTATAAAACTGAAAAAATGTAATCGAGTTATTTTATTTAATAAAAACGGTATGTGTTAATACAAAACAAACAAGAACAAGACACTACATACCAAAAAAATATAAAAAAGAACTATTATCTACTTTCAAGCTTTATGAAACTACCCGCATTTATGATTATATTTATCAATATAACTTATGTATAAATACAAATTTGTAATATTCCACAAGAATAGATAAAACAACATAGGTGAATAAAACAAACTATTTTATTAATAATAACACCTACCAAATTTTATACCTTAAAGGTTGATTAATTAACTTTCATCTTAATTTTTTTAAACCAGTACCTTTTGACATTATTTTTCTGCAGTACTAAAATCCATTATTTACCTATCGTGTGATGTCGATATTTTACAGCTGCTCCAGTTTTTAGTATGTGTTTAATTTGATCCTTCTACCATATACGAGATGCACTTATCTACGACGAAATGGTATACAAACTTTATCGATGGCAACTTCATTGGTGTATAAAACTTTCTGTCTGGGCAGCGAGTATAAACCATAAACTGTGCAGTACAGTTAATTTTCACTCGATTTTTCCTCCACTTGACTTCAAAAGACACAAACACACGTAATAATACGAATCAACATGCATCATCTTCCAAAACGCAGGGTATTTAACAAAAGTTGACACAAAATTCTAACCTATAATTTGGCAAGACTTTGACAAGCGTCAAAAATGACAAAAATCTAAAGGCGAGTTCATACGCATCGGCGTCCGTTTGTCGTTCATCGTTCCGTCAAACCAATAAAATTGAAATACGATCTGTCATTTTTTAAATAAACCAATAAAACTGGTTAAAAACAACAAGACACGACGCATGACGGATTTATATTTAAACCCATCCATAGATAACTTAAAAATTATTAGAAACTTTTTTTAGTAAAATAAATAGATTGGTATGGGACGTCATCTGCTTTTCTTCTGTCATCGTCTGTCGAAATCTTACCTGAGAAAAAAAACAGAGTATATATAATTTTTTCCATAGCAACTGTTAAAATTGCCTTGTATCTATCAAAAATAGTAGATAAAGTAGTACTTTAACCGCAAGGGTGGATTAAATGATTTTTTATTTATTTTTTAGAAAATTTTTGTATTCCTTTTCATAAGTTATTCGGGATTTAAATGGAAGTAGTTTGGATATGGCGTTTGTCGCCTCAGTCTGAATATATGTTGGTAATTTACTTATTTCCTTTTAAGCCATTTCTGGCTCCAATTCAATCAGCAATCGACACGAAAGAAAATTAAAAAATATTGACTCAAAACTGACAACTAAAGAGACAACTTTATTTATTTGTCAAATTACATAGAAACCAACGCCAACCCAGCACAATATTTTTTCTACTCGTAGTAAATTCCTTGAAATAATAATTTCTGAATATTTTTTAAAACTAACTCGCTATGGAAAAAAATATTGTTTTATACACGACGATAAAATTGCATTATTGTCTCCCGAAATTCGTGATATCATCGCTCGTGAATTAATGCTTTCGGTCGACGATAAAATGCCATTTTATCGTCTTGTATAAAAAATAACTATTATTTTACATTAAAGGAGGAAACATTTTCCAAGAAAAAATAAGTTTTACTATTTAGCAACTATTTAGTGGTCCACCGGGGAAGTTTTTGCGTGATTCCAGCATCACCGTGAGGGGGCTGCAACAAAAGTGGGCCCCACTAACGAGTATATTGCGTGTTCTCTGGTGCTAAAACGGCAATTTTCTTCCCCTTATACTTAAATAATAGATTAAAGTGTTTTGTACGAAGGTGATGATTGGATTACTAATTACTTTTGCTATTGGAGTGTAAACCTTTAATAATATTAATAATTTCAAGTTAATTCATTCTTAACACTTGTGGTTATAGAAAACAACAATGCAAAAATAATAACATGGTAAAATATAATAATTTTTATTCTCTAGAGTATAAAACCAACTGCAGAGTTTTATAAATAGATACTATTCAGCAAGAGAGTTTTTTTTTACAGAAAATTGAAGAGATCTACATACCGGGTATGTCTCAAAAGTTACGCAAACATATTCGCTAAAAACAAATTGTATTTTAAATTTCAATCTAGAGTGCTATGGCTGTGTTAAAAACACTAATTTTTAATCAAGGAGCATTGGAAAAATAGATTTGATCGTCTAATATGTTTAGTGTCTTGTGCTGGCCGGTTAAAAGATGCCCAAATCGGATTTTTAATCATATCTCATTTTTGTTCAAAATAACGAGGGTGGCTCATTAACATATTTCGAAAAAACATTTTTTTACGTATAATTTGATACCACACACTTGGTATTTCGAGTCAAATTGTCGTTATGAACCGCATGTTACAATTTCACACAAACTATATGCGAAAATGTCAAAAGTTGACATAAGATATGTATGTCATTCTATTCAGACTTTCATTTTTTATCAAATAAAGCGAAAAAAATACCGAATGTACCATTTAAAAATCAAAAGTTGTAGTCATTTCCGGTGAAACCGGAAGTAACCGAAAACAATTGAATATGTCAATCAATCTTGATTTATGTCATATACCCGTCATAAATATATGTCATATACTCGTCATACATATGTCAGAAACATACCAAATCTCGTTGTTTTATAAGAAAAAAAAAGTTATAGGGGTGAGCCACTTTTCAGACGCACCCAGTATATTTTTTGTTATATTTTATTTTTTTTTTTGGATTCCACTTAATATTATGTATATTGAAAGCACCTAATATCATTCATGAATTCATTTTGTGACAAAAACAGAGATCATACAGTATTTTTGCAGTCATTACAAAATGCAAACAAAAATAACGAGATCGTGTTCACTACAGTGGCGTCACGTGTTTCAATACTTAAGGATAGCACAAATTGTTTTCATTAACTTTTACAAAATTCCATAAAAATATGAGGAATTAAAGGAATTAATATAGGGTCCGGCAATAGTGCGTCGGGAAGATTCTCCTAGAATAAAAAAAAACTTGGAGTTTCGTTTGCTCGGAGTGCAAACCAAAAGCTTGTAATAGGATGTATTTCAGGAAAATATTTTAACTTCTACATGTGACTGGATCGGGATAATTTTTTTTAAATACAGCACTCTGGATATTATTGCATTTTTTGCTTCCTTTTCAGATCACTTTATATAATCCTAAGATATAAGTAAATCTATTTCGATAGCTTCAGAGATATCAATAAATAGCCTTTCTAAAAAAAATATTAAAAATACAAGAACTATCCTGAAATCAAAACTATGTATTTACTTGTACTTACTCTGTTAAATATGGTAATCGTAAATCATACAGGAGGTTCAAAATTCTACGCCAAACTTTCTAAAATATAAAATAATTTTTCTTTGTATTTTTAAATGGAAAAGTTTTTGTGTATAAATTACAAGTCCATGACGAATCGTCTTTGAAATAAATAGAATTAGGTAATAAAAGAATGATAGAAATTAAATTATTTTTAAGGCATTAAATTTGGTGGTTCGCGTGCATAGATGCATTTTTGAGGCACCGCCTATGGTTCCCTATGCTTTCATGAATGAATATGTAAAACCTATTTATAATTTCATTCTATGTATGGTAGGTAAGTACGGAATATTTCTGAATACACTTAAATCAGTTCTGAACGTCATTAATTCACACACAAATTAACAACTATAAAAACAAAATTGTCTAACCAATCTGTATTTTTTGACGATTCAATATGCTAATCTCCCCTCCATTGTATCTTTTAAATATCTCTTTTTAGTAGGAAAAAAACGACGACAATTGAAAAAAGAAATCGCATATTTCCAAACAGTGTTTCTCTATTAGCCAATCAATTTGTAAGTTTATAGTTAAACAACTAACGTGCAAACAATAAAAACCAACCTGAGTTAAATCCTTGTGTGTTTAGAAAATTATCACGCAACGGGTAAATAGAAGAGTTTGGTGGCTTCGGGTGGTGATATGTTCATTATACCGGAGTTTCATGAAAAGTTAGATCTACATGATAAAAGAAGACAATATTCCTTTCCACGTATCCTAATATTCTATTAGTGCATAACATCACTAGGAGAAAAAACCTCCGGGATATAACGTCGCTTACTCTAATAGAGTAATTTCATTAATATCAATAACAGCAGTTTTATTAAAATCGATCACATGACCAAAGACACCAATTTCCATGACTTTAAGCAAAGAAAAAATAAGAAATTTACCATTTTTACCTATCTTTTAATTGTTTTCGATGCAGCTAAAACATACATACCATACATACAATACTGCCAATACTCGCTGACGAGTATTTGACACGCATCAGAAGATGATTACGCAAGGCGTTTTCTTTCATGAGTTTTTCTGTGGCGGAAAAGCCCGATATGTGATGTTGTCTCTCTTCCACACTCCGGACACTCAAAAATCTTATTGCTTTGTTGCCTCTTTACTTTTTGGTTGTCGCTGTTAACTATGTTTACAATTATTCTCCATTGCGTTCTATATTGTGCGCTGCTTCTTCCCACTTATTCTACACGTTTATCCCCTTAAGTTTTCGTGGAAAATATCCTTATACCTTTTGACTTTTGACTACCCGGTTTGTTTCCTCATATCGTCTACAAGCTCACCGTAAAGCAGATATTTTGGTAGGC